TTTAATGTTTTAGTTACAATATTTTTAATAATCAATTATTAATAAAGCTTTGTTGTGAATATTTAACAGGAAAAGTGCACATTTGGCATTACGTCCGTTTTTTCCTTATTTCGTGAAGGATTTTATGCTGTACTGGAGTCACTTTTTCACATTATGAAAAACAATTAATATAGGCCTTAATGATGACGTGAAAATAGGTCAGACCTTGGCAGTAACAACTAAATTTGCTTTTTTCTTCATGAAAAAATTTTGATTTAAACTGTTGTGAATTATTTTATTTTCAGTTCTTTAATTTTAATAACATTCTAGTTTTTAAAGTATGTGATTTTTAAAAGGATTTAGTTTTTAAACGTATGTGGTTCTTAAAGTGTGTAAGTTTTTAAAATATGTGTTTCTTTTAAATGTATAAAGTATGTAGTTTTTTTAGTGTCAAAGTATACGGGTTTTTAAACTATGAGGATTTTTATTGTGCTGTTCTTTTAAATGTGGGGATTTTTTAAATGTTCTTATTTTAAAGTATGTGGTATTTTAAATGTACTTGTTTAATGTTTTAAATGCACTTACGTGGTTTTAATACTTTCTTTAGGGGCGTCGGTGGCCGCAACGGTTTAGGCGTTGACACGGCGCTCATCACTGTAAGGTAAAGGTCCCGAGTTCGAATCCAGCGGCCCTGCATTCGAACCCGACATACTTACAAATGGGTGGGCTCTTTTTCAAAAACACCTGCACCCCGAGGGTTTATATGACCTCTGCTATTGCGAACCCTCGTAAAATAAAATAAAAATAATAATAATAATAGTGGAGGGCTGAAATGACTTCACTGTTGGTAGACCTCGGCAGAAAAATGATAATTAATAAAAATAAATAAATAATAATAATGGTATATATAAAGGGGGCGACGGTGGCAGCAACCGTTTAGGCGTTGACACGGCGATCATCACTGTAAGGTAAAGATCCCGAGTTCGAGTCCAGCGACCCCACAATCGAACCCGACATACTTACAAATGGGATTTTTTTTCAAAATCACCGGCACCCCGAGGGTTGATATAACCTCAACTTAGAGCAGCGGCGTATCTAGCCAAAGATCGTGGGTTCGAATCCCGCTCGTGACACTGACTTTTTTATCTCAACTAAAAACTTAATTCGGTTTTAAATTTCTTCTTATAAACAAATATTCTTAAACATTAATACAATAAGTATTAAAACAAATGCAATTTTAAATGGTAATTTTTATAATGATGGTAGTCTCTGGTACTCTATGTTCATAAAAGACAGGGTACTTTGGAGATTATATACACAAATAATATTGGATTTGAAGAACATTATTACTCTCCCAAAAAGAGTCGACGGTCTTGGTATCACCGATTTTAATGGAGCTTTTTTTTGTGATACTAGGTCGAAAAATATTAGACACGTGCTCGAGCGTTTTTAAGCATTTAATGTACTTTTCTGTCTTTTTCGTATGTATATTTCAATGTTATTAAATATCAGTCGATTAGTTTTTGACGTAGAATGAACAAAATAATTTGGATATATTAAATGAAAATATTTATAAAATGACTCCTGACTCCAGGAAGAAAGCACGTTAGGGTCAAAAATAATCTTAGTAAAACTTACCACATATGCTTATGCTAGTTTGTTAGGTTTGTATGTTGTCTGTTACTATCATAAAAAATTAATACCCCGTTAGAGCAAACAAACAAACTTAAATTACTGAAAGCCAACATATGGAAGAAAAGTGTCCAAAAGGGGTAGTACACGTGGATTTTTAAAGTTTTGTGTTTTCGCTTCATTGTTGGAGAAACGGATGCCAATATTAATGGATCATGACAGATTTTATTGTCAACAACCGTAATGCTGTGTACATAATACAAAAGTGAAAAACAGTCAACTTCAATTTGTCTCTCCTGTCAAAATTTTTTGTTGAGTTGTGTCACTTTTTTTGTGACCGTGCGATTTATCCAGAAATGAAGGGTGCAATTCCTTGGCTCCATATAGAAAGCGTATAAAAATGCCACCCGATATGAGAATTGTTTTTGAGCGTGGTCTCTTGTCCGATTCTTTTAGGAAACAGGGTTGTTTTATTGTATATCGTAATGATATTTTTATGTCCCTAGCATACGTTAACGGAGAATATATTTATTAGCGTGAATGCGTTGCTGAGAGAACAGAATATTGAGTACCAATCGATTACCAATTAGTTGACCTATAAAGGGTGTTCGTCTACTCGTGTTACAAATGTTGCCCGTGGATTCTACATTCAAAACGGAACCAAAAAGTCCTATTTAACTAAGGTCCGAACCTCAGCAGTTTCAGAATTATTTCACTTTTGCTTAATTTTTTGAGATTTCACGACCTTGATTCAAATAAACAATGATAACTCCAAAAGTAAAAGGTTTTGGACAAATCGGGTTGGTACCATTGAAAACTTCGTTAAATTTCCAATATGATGTGATCAATACTAAACTTGCAAACGTTCGTGAAATAAGTTTTTTAGTAGCAAGAACTATGAAAAATATTTTTTTTATAAAGGTGAAGAATGTATTATGGTGATTCTAAACGAGTATTTCAAAACCGAGAGACCAGCAAATTTTAGAAAACGTACTCCATTTAATATCCTTTTTAGTGGTGCAATTTCTTTTTTAATTACTTTCTTTAAAGATGAAGAAATTTATGTAGGAAAAGAAAAAACCGTGGATGAAGGATTGGCAAGGTAGAAAGATAAATAATAATAAAAAAATAAAAACTTAAGGATTTAAGTTTTTTTTAATTTTCCACCTTACCAATCCCTCAGCCACGGTTTTTTTCCTTTCCTCCATCAATTTCTTCATCTTTGAAAAATGGAGTACGTTTTCTGAAATATGCTGGTCCCTAGGTATGTTGTAAACGAACGTTTACAAGTTTAGTATTGATCACATATTTTTTTTAAATTTAACGTAGTTTTGAATAGTATCAATTGATTTGCCTAAAACCTTTTAGTTTTAGAGTTAACATTGTTTATTTGAAGCAAGGTCGTAAAATCTTAAAAAAATAGCATAAGTGAAATAACTCCGAACCTGTTGAGATTCGGACCATAGTTAATGAGGACTTTTTGGTTCCATTTTGGATGTAGAATGTAATCGACTGGTAAAGTTTGTAACACGAGTAGCTCAATACCCGGTGTAATAGACGTAGAGGATGATGGAGGAATATCGTGTACTCCACCACCCTAACTGAGTGAATTGTATTTAAATAGAAAATATTGTAATTAAAAGTGAATAAGAATGCGAATGGGTTTGAGGAACTGATTGCGTTGGTGCTAAAATGACCTAGCTGTAGGCAACACGCCGAGCCCAACCTCGGACGACAAAAGGTGGAAGTGCCATTGGAATGCGAGAAGTGAGGGCTCAACTCTTTACACATGTGTGCATATGAACATGCATGGGCAGATTTGAGCTCAGCTAAGTCAGTAATCAGTATAATTTTTAATTATTTCCGTCATTTATCAAGATTAATAGCGATATCTCTTTAAAATAAATTATATAATCGTAGGTGGTCCAATCTCTCTATATTTAATGGCCAAACACGTTATTCTCAAGGATTAATCGTTTATTAATTATCTGTAATAATGTTTACATGTTAATTATGTTTTTTTTGGTTACTTATCAAGGTTATCGTGTGTTTTCTTTTTATTATTACATTAATATGTCTAATAAAGCGGAGACATAATTGCTATAATTTAATCCACCATCCTACCACTCAACAAAAAATTATTTGTGTTGTAATATGTGTCCGACTTAAAATGGAAACATAACGTGAATATTTTGTTCTTTAGATTTATAGTTACTAATTACACTATTTACATTAAAAATAAAGAAAATCAGTTCAATTTCATTCTTTCCAGAGCCAACTTGTCGAGCAATTAATCGGTTGTGCAATTGGTTCCTTTGGTAAAACATTAAATTGGAGTGAAAAAATAATAAATAATTTTTTTCTTAACAACATTGTTTTAAATCCAATTGGGCAGATGCTTTGGCCAACGTCGGACATACCGTCCGTTACGTAGCCAAAAGTCCTGCGTGTCCTGCAGAGTTCCGCGAGACATGCCAGGTCACCTCTCCTGACACCATTGGTTATTACGTTTCAGGAACTTAAAAAAGAAACGTTTATCCAAATTTGAACAAGCTGTTGAGGTGATGGAACTAGACAAGGATTCACCAATCCTGCCAGTAACTTTGGCAAACTTCAATCCTGGTAGAGAGGTGAAGGGTTGGTTCGCACAGTCGATATGCTTTGTTAAGATAGGTGAAGCTACCAAATCTTCGCATGGTACATTGGTCATGGTTACTATTCAATTTTAACAGTTATTACTAGAAACAGCAATAGGCTAGTTTTCAATAGTAAACAGGTGAAGTATAACTGGAACTAGTTCATTAGAACGGAATTGATTTTATTCAGCAAGATCCGATGATGTCCTTTTCATCGGGTGTTTTAATATATTTTATTTATTCTTTCACGAACAGCGATTTAAACATCCAAAGATTTTATATTGATTGCAGATGTACGTTTTTACTTTTACATTCAACGAATATCTGATTTCACGTTTATGTCAACTATCTTTGCATTTTGAGAAAAATTTACATATGTGACGTAGTAAAAATGAAGTTTGGGTTATAAACAGATTATCTACAAGTCTTTCTGTATTTCATTTTATTGAGTCAAACGCCAACTTGGCCAAAAGTGTTGCATTCTTGCAGTATTGCATTATTCTGATAATAAATTTGAGCGTTTTTGTTAAAATCTCGCATATTCTATATAGGTGTGAGTATTATTCACGTAGGAAAAGCCCAATCTTTCAAACTAGTTCAGAATTAATAAAATATTCCTAGGTCTATCTGATCCTATTATTTTATTGATATTTTTGAAAAGATCCACATTTTCTTTCTATTTACTCGACAAATCGTACTGTTAGAAAATATCAAAGCGGTAAGGGGGTTTAAGTTAAATAAAACTGGTTACGATGGAAAGGTTTTTATTAACAATATAAAAATGTTATTTACAATGAAATAATGAGCGGTGATTGAAGAAATAACGATGGATAAAAGACGATTCCCTGCGCCTACCATACTTTGTGGTGACCTCCAACAGCTACAGCAGAGCCGAGACCAAGGTCAGATGAAAAACCAGAACCATATCCATGACCATACACTCCAGAACCGTATCCGAATCCAGAGCCGTATTTAAGTCCAGAACCGTATCCGAATCCAGAGCCGTATCCAAGTCCAGAACCATATCCGAATCCAGAACCGTATCCTAGCCCAGAAACGCCGGAACCATATCCGAGTCCGGTAAATCCAGAACCAAAACCGAGACCAGAAGAGACACCTACTACTGGGGCAGCAGCAACCACTCCAGTGTGAACCGGAACAGAGACGTGGACAGGTACGGGTTGGTGCACGGTAACTGGGTGTGGAACTGGGACTGGTACGTTCCTAACCACAGGAACAGCGACTGGCTTGGGAACGGGAACTGCGACCGGGTGAGGTACAGGAACCTTGACAGTGTGATGAACAGGAACAGGGACACGACGTTCAACCGGTACAGGGTAAGGCCTCTCGACTGGAACTGGGACTGGTCGTGGCACGTGAACTGGGTAGGGCCTGTCGACTGGAACACTGACGGGATGGGGTACTGGTACAGGGACTGTCCTTTCAACAGGGACTGGTACAGGTTGTGGAACTGGTACGGCAACACGGTGAGTGACAGTGACGTGCCTTGATACGACTTGGTTTCCTCCGACAACTCCAGTGGCGAGACCGACTCCAGAACCAAGAGCAACGCCTGAACCGACTCCGTATCCGAGTCCGACTCCGGATCCCAGACCGACTCCAGAACCATAGCCGAGTCCGTAGCCGACGCCCGAACCGTATGAAACTCCATGGCCAACTCCGCCTCCATACAGACCGTAACTTAATCCTCCTAAAGATGATCCGTAACCTCCTAGGCCTCCTCCATAAAGTCCTTCTCCGAAGACTCCTCTCTTTTCTTGTTTCTTCTCCTGTCCACCCAGCACACCGAGGGCTAACCCAAGCAGGAAAATCGTCTGAAATAATAGCTTTAATGAGAAAATATTTACAATGAGAAAAAACTTATAAGTGTTAATAAGCAACTATAAAACAATATTAATTTTTTATATTTTTTATATTTTATTAACTATTTCGAAGCGAATAACTCTTCCAACTGTGGGTGTTAAGTTTTAAATTCACTTACTGTGGTTTTCATTTTGATTTCGAGAACCGAACTGATACCATTACTCGCTCACTCCGTCTTTTATATACAATGAGGGACACTTACCGCTCCCTTTGAACTTTCAGTCCGGTTTCGTTCATCCTGCCATCCTTGCGTGCCAGCCGGTTATGTAAAAAAAAAATATGTAACACCAATATAAAAAAAATTCATATGATCCAGAAAAGCAATACAGTAGAATATGCCTACTCGTAAATATAGCGGTAGGAACGGCAATTTCTTTTGCTCAGAAAACCCTCCAATGATAAATTTTTCGAAACTTGTTCCGTTGTATAAAACTTCCATGTCAAATTGTTTTATCCGACCGAAGCCAAAAGCTATAGTAACAATTAGAATATATTTGCTACAAGAACATAATTGTTGATACTTTATATATATTAGTTTATATATAAAGTGTTTATATATATAATTTTAGTTATAAAGCAAATTATTGGAATTAACAACGAAATAAACGAAATGCGTTTTTTCAAACTGTTTAACATAAGTTTCTCATTATTTGACTGACTTCAAATCCGGCTGCACCATTGTTTTCAGCATAGAAAATCATTTGTGTCAGGGTGTATAGGGTCGTATTTAAAATTTTGATGTTGAACAAGGCCTGAGGTACCCTACATAATATTTCTCAATAAAAGGGTAATAATTTCAAACTAGACTAAAAAACATTCAACACTTTATTTTTTTAACGATTAACTTTAGCAAGAAAGTATTATACAAACCACAATGTAATTTTGGCTAGGTATCGCTTGGTGATAACAGATTTAGTTTCTCATCTAGCTAGAAAATGATACTAAATTTGTTATTTTAATGAGAATTTTAGAGAGAATTTATTGTAAAATTCGATTCTGGCACATATTTTATGCCACTTTTAGGGGTAGGAAAATTTTGATAGCATCGACGATTTCAGTTATGCCCGATGGAACACTCGTGGAGGGGTTTTTGTAATACGGTGGCCCTCCCCGTTAATTTCGAAAACGATTAGCATTAGCAAGTTAATTTACGATAGGAATCGTCTCAGAACAGAGTAAGGATCATGGAGTTGCTTATTATACATAGCTTGTACTAATTTTTGAATAAAAAAACGAATTTTTTTTTACAAAAAAGGATGTTTTTATCATCATCGAGTCCATTTAATTTTTAAAATGTCTCTCAGTTGTTATTACGTATTGTTGTAGATTTTACCATTTTTTCAAATTTGTGTTTATAATAAATGCTCAAATACCCTTCCTGCTTTTCTCTGCTCGGTTCAGGAATTCTTCTATTATTGGCCTTTTGCATTTCTTTATTTTTATTATTCTGCCTTTTCTCTTATTCGTGGGCGCATTTCTCTGCAAGTCACGACAATTCTTGGACAGTCATCACTGGAGATGGATCATCCAAAGTTCCATATTTAAATTTAAACAATTACTTAAGAAATAATACATAAAAGATTTTTAAGATTTTAAAATTATTATATTAACTTATTTTGTTAGAGAATACTTTCAATAGGTGAATACATTTATCAGCAGATGATAGAAAAGGTTTTTATTGACATATACATAAATAAAATAACTTATAACATCCTGCAAATTTCATTAATTAAAGATATACTCGATGGTATTGCCAGATGCAACGTTTTTTGTTTGTTTAAGTATAATTAAATAATGCATTAAAGTGAAAATAAAAGTATTAGATATCTGCTAAAATAATACAAAATAAAATTAAAATAAGCTAATAAATACACCATTTAATCTTAACAAAAAAACCATATATGCTGACCATAATTAAATGATAAAAATAAACATTCTAAGGAATCTTCAACTAATTCTGGCTGCATGAAAACCAACCCTTACTGTTTTCATACCCAAAGCCCATGTCGGCTTACAGTATTGCAAAATTTGACCGGTTTCCATTTAGATATTCAATGAATTCTTCTTTAGATAAATTTGCTTATTATTTCTATTGCACATAGTACATATTTGTGGTCTACATTTTTAATTTTTTTGAAACATACAGTCCAAATTAACCAACAATATCTACTCAGTAAAAACTGGAACTTCTGACTGCAGATCTTATTATGTATTATTTCTGGAGAAAGATCTTCTTTGATTTAAAATTCGCAGCAAATAGGCACAGCATTGACATTTGGGCATGAAGAACAAAGTTATATCCAATGCTGAAATGTCAGGTCGGACAAAAGCGGTCACTATTTGACTATTCGCTTTATGTGAAACGCTGGGTGTAATCAGTGTAATTTTTAGGAAGAATTTCATGTAGAATATAGACGCCTAACGCAGAAAACCCTAAAACTTGTAAACGCTCTTCTAAGTCAGCTAAAGTCGACGTAGATCGTAGTTGCGGATCATTGGAAGTACTATAAATTATAAATAACCTATTCTCAGGCCAAAAAATTAAATTCAATCTGGAAAAAATTAAAACATTCAACGTCCCATTGCAATCCGAATAATATATGTGTATGGATAATATATGTAAAAGATAAATAAAACAGATTATCTAACTACCTATCACAGGCCGATACCCTTTAAATTTGCCCATGCTGGAGTTCAAGGTACGGGACTAACGTCGCCAGTAGGCAGGTTGGTTTCTTAAGCGTTTGATAGACTACTCCTGATCAACACGCATTTCAGAATTTCCCACTGCGATAATCATGTTGTTGATGGTGAAATACATCAGTGATGTAATTATTATTTTTAACAATGCGAGTCTAGTAGCGGCACGATCTGCTGCCGAATAGGTAACTATAGTTCGAAAGACGGGAGAGTAAATAACGCCTTCCTATAGTTTGGTGGGCGATATTGGGTCACACGATAGCTGGCTTTTTTGGTGAGATGTGATAATAATTTGATTGTAACTTAACCAGCTTGAGGTGAGCATTTTTTGACAGAAATTCTACTTAACTTTCATTGTATATTTGTGTAATAAAATGTCTGTTAAAAAAAGGGGGATCGAATCGCTAGGTTAAAAACCAGATTGGATCTAATAATCAGGTCTAATTATTAGGGATTTTCAGAGCACTACAAAGGGTGAGAACCGTGAAAGGATCTATTTAGGATTATCTAAAGGACTACAACAAAAAACCGCCGGTTGTCTCTTGAAGCTTTAGAAAATACGAAAATGAGAACAAAGCTTGCGGAGAATGATTATTCAGGAATCGTGAGATGCGGTCTGGTGTGATGTAGGTTTCAGAAAAATTTCTTTATCGTGCCAACGTTTCGATCTTTATTGAGATCATCTTCCGGGCTCAAAGTGTTTGTTTTCTGCCTAAGTGTGCTATTCTTGCGTGTCGTGTGAGAACCGCTAGCGTGGCAAATACGAGTCCGAAGCCCTAACCTATCGGCTCCACCAATTCTGTAGATCTATGATCTTCATCTACAAAAATATTGTAACTCTTATTTGTTAAATAATTATTTCAAATAAAAATGTATTCGTATTTTTAACTAATTAATTCTAGTAAACGTGTGCGATAAAAAGGAAACCTAAATTAAATATTTTTAAATATGAAGTAAATGTTATATTTTGATAATCTGTAGGATTATCACCCAAAATGTTTATATAAAGTTATCCAATAATTATGCTTCACCTTCTGTGATTGGTCAGAGATTTAACAAGGGATTTTAACATATATGCATTTGGAAAATTGTAAATAGCACTGAGAAATTATAGATGACTGGCGCGAACAAAAGGTTGGATGTAAGCTAACATAGATCATTTTCTTACAATGTTAATACATTAATGTCAGAACCTCAAAAATAATTACTAAGCTGAAAATTGTTCCTTGGGAAACAAAAATAGCGCAAATTGAATTATTTGGAAACGAGAAGAATTTAACGGAAGAAAATAAATCAATAAACGAAAACGAAATGAAAACACAATTACGTAATATACTATGAGCACTACACTCATACTACTAATAAGAGCATATATGCCATGACATTAAAAAAGCAAAAATAACAGAAATGTGCCTGACTAACTACGGGTTCTTCACGTCACCCATCAATTCATGATATGTGTCACTATTTCAGTCAGTTTAATCCATACAAAACTACATCTTTCATAACGATTGTATTCATATTTATTTTAGCCAATAGGTTCAAGGTTTAAAATCAGTGTTAAAAATTGGAACACCCTTGGCAATCGAGATTGGATTTTTTGTTTTTTCTTTAGTAATTCGCAAATGCATTCTTAAGGTGGTATACCGACTTATTTATTTCAGATTAAATTTCGTGTATACAAATAAAGCATGTATTAAGAAGAAGAAATTGCATTTCTTTTAATAAATTGACATTAGCATGGCAGCAAAAATAGATAATACATTTTATTCTATTCGCTATTCTATGTGTATTGAAAATTATCTATATTCGATTCTAAAAAAATTAAGAGGCAAAATTGTCGGAAAATATATTTGTGCTTGAAAAAACTAAAAAGTTTTTCCAAGTTTTAATTGCATAAATTGATTGAAAATCGATACTTCTTCAAGATATGGAATTGCATTATTTTACATAATTTCAAGATTCGCGGAGTGACAAGACCGGAATAAAAGTTCAAAGTGGCTGAAGCTGTATCGCACCAACTTTGTATAAAAGGCTGAGATGACACAGTTATTCACCAGTTCAGTTCGCTCCTCCAACATGAACACATTTGTAAGTTCATCCCATTTCTCAAGTGTATTCATAAAAGTGGATACGATATAGTTGTGATTATTGTTAATGAAAGATTAAAGACCAAGAAATTTTTGTAGTAAAATATCACTTCTGCCTTTCTTAAAACAGATTTGTTATTCATTATACTTAATGGAAAACTGTTTCAGACGATTTGCCTCGTCTTCGGACTGGCCGTTGGTGTGTTCGGTGGTGATTCCAAGAAACACGAGAAGCGAGGAGTCTATGGAGAAGGACTATATGGAGGAGGTCTAGGAGGATTTGGCTCAACATTGGGAGGCGTTAGCTCAGGACTGTATGGATCTGGTCTAGCTCATGGAGCCTCCTACGGTTCTGGACTCGGCCTCGGATACGGAGTCGGCTCAGGACTTGGTCTTGGATCTGGAGTTGTTCTCGGCTCTGGAGTTGGCTCTGGACTAGGTCTGGCGACTGGAGTGGTCGGAGGAAACGAAGTCGTTTCGAGACACGTCACAGTCACTCACCGTGTTGCTGTTCCTGTACCACAGCCTGTGCCAGTTCCAGTTGAAAGAACGGTAGCTGTTCCTGTCCCCCATCCCGTTAGTGTTCCGGTCGATCGACCTTACCCAGTACAAGTACCACGACCCGTCCCAGTTCCGGTCGAAAGACCTTACCCTGTACCAGTGGAACGTCGTGTCCCTGTACCAGTTCACCGCACTGTTAGTGTACCTGTACCTCACCCCGTCGCTGTGCCAGTTCCAAGGCCAGTAGCTGTTCCTGTCGTCAGGAACGTACCAGTCCCTGTTCCTCACCCAGTAGCCGTCCACCAACCCGTACCTGTCCACGTGTCTGTACCGGTCCACACTGGAGTGGTTGCTGCTGCCCCAGTAGTCGGTGTCTCTTCTGGACTCGGTTTCGGTTCTGGCTATTCTGGACTTGGATACGCTTCAGGAGTTTCTGGACTCGGATACACTTCAGGAGTTACTGGGCTCGGGTACGGTTCTGGAGTTTCTGGGCTCGGATACACTTCAGGAGTTACTGGGCTCGGGTACGGTTCTGGAGTTTCTGGACTCGGATACACTTCTGGAGTTACTGGACTCGGGTACGGTTCTGGACTCGGATACGGTTCTGGCTTCTTATCTGGCCACGGTCTCGGCTCAACTGTAGCTGTTGGAGGTCACCACAAAGTACTGTAATCGTCAGTAAACACCGAACTTTTCATCCATTCTTTCTCATTCATACTTCATTACTACATTGTATATACCTCATTTTTATATTGTTAATAAATTTTTTATTGTAAATTAGTTCGTACTCTAGTAAAACCTTTCTGTTTTTTGAACATTTTTTGTACTACATTAATTGTGTGACTATAGTGTATATGTCTGATGTATTGAAAAATTAATTACAATGTAATATTTGTTGTAATTCTAAAGTAATTTATCTTCCCACACTCGCATATATATATATATATACTTATACGGATATACTTATAACAGCTTTAAAATATCAGAAAATAAGATGAGATCTTTTGAGGAAATAAGAAGGTACGTATGCTAGGAAGTCAGGTGTTGGACCATCAGGTGCATAAAGACAAGACATTACCATTGATTAACTTCCACATCAAATAGCAAAGGAAACAGCCAAATAGTACATCTCCTTCCATGATAACTATAGCTAGAATCCAATTTCCTTATCGACATATTAAGAACAGTTGGACAAGGACAAAAGCATACTTTGCGATAGTAACTGTTGAGAGAAAGGTTGATCACCTCGGAATAGATAAATAAATCCCTGATTCAGGAACTCACCGATCACGGAAGGGACAGATCCTACTTTCATAGTACACATAATTAGAATCATATCAAGTTTAATTGTTTTTCCTTGCCAAACTCTGCAACCATTTCATTTACAATTGTAATCGCCAAGGCAGACGAATCCGCTCTGCAGCGACGAGCGGCCAAGAGGCAAATTGATCAGAACTATTTTCAAAAAACCTTACATTTCTGTAAACTTCTCTACGTAAAGTAGTTCCTAGGAGGGCTTTAAGACAACTTCCATTTGGGGGCCGCGGACATGGATTTTTTAATAAAAATTTCATGGATGCCGTGATTCTAAATTTTGTATTGAACTCTACCAAAACGTCTATCTCTAATAGGTATTCAATAACGATTTTTGAACATGTTTTGCTATTACATTGGTTGTGTGACTACAGTGTTTGAGCCTGGAATATTAAAAAATTAAGAACAATATTGGGTACTGTTTGTTGTAATTTTAAAGTAAGTCATCATCCCGCAATCGCTTCCGCAGGTTTTATTTAAGGTTTTATTAACTTAAAAATAGACGAACTCAATAGAAAAATTACTAAGCGTCATATGTCGTAGCATAAAATAGGTCATGAAGATTATTCATTTTTTCGCACTTCTATATTTCTGTGAAAAAGGGACTTAAGACTTCACCAAAATAATAAAACTTCTAAAGGACTACAATGTTCTCTGATATAAATAGATAACCTCTGGAGTGTGATAAGTCATTCGAATTCCTAATTAATAACAACTCCCAGGGGCGTCGGTGGCCGCAAGGTTTAGTCTTTGACACGGCGCTCATCACCGTAAGGTAAAGGTCCCGGGTTTGAATCTAGCGGCCCTGCATTCGAACCCGACATACTTTACTTACAAATGGGCTTTTTTTCAAAAACACCGGCACCCTGAGGTTTTATATGACAAAAAAAAAGTGGTGCAACCGAAAGATCTTAAAAAAGGAACAACGGGCTTCTCAAAGAACTCAGTCGCTTATACTGCTTGAATGAGATCAAGCTAAACAACTCATAAGTCATAGCCATATCAAAAAATAACACATTGTTTACTAATCCTCTACAATAACGACATACTGGGACATGCATACTAACTGGTCATCGTTAATTAACTATCAACAGGGCAAAGATAAGGAGGATTTACGAGTAAATGTTTTGTAACTGCTAAGTAAAAACGGACACAAAAGAACACGTTTTGTTATCATGCTCTTACGTACAAAACAACAGTTGCAACATAAATATCGAATGAGATAAAAATGCTGCGTATAACAATTGAATGTTTAGTGTGATAGGGCCGATGGTGGAATATTGGACGCTTTAACGATCAAGTCGTGATTATTTTTGTCTTTGCCGATAAATACAATACTATATTCACATTTGTCCACCTTTTGAATATGGGCAGTGAGTCATAATATGAACATAACTGTCCAAAAATCATTAATTCAATCAAATCAATAAGTTATAAATTTAAAAGGAAAATCCTTTTTTCCATCAAACTTTAGGTTGTGGGACGAGGGATTGTCTTATCACATCCTAATTTTAGTATTTATTCGTATTTCTCAATTTTTTCGACTTGTTTCATATCCTCTTGTGTTTCAGTTTGGCTTTTGATACCCACGCCCCGAAGATCCTGCCATCCTCAAATATTGGTATTATACTACAGTTTTTTTCCAGTTCTTCCTCGTATAGAATAGAGTCCATAATGAATTACCAAAATCGAGTTTTTTATCTATTTCAATTAAGTAAGGCTTTTAGTTGAGATAAAAAAGACAGCGTCACGAGCGGGATTCGAACCCACGATCTTCGGCTAAATACGCTTCTGATCTACTACTTGAGCTATCTTGGCTTCGATCCACTCGGACACTAATTTCCAATCTCAATCCCACCTTTTGAATTTTCCCTCCTTTTTGCCATTTTTCAAATGTCGTGTAATCTATTTGATTCTCGGCGAGAAATGAAATGGCCACGGAGAGCATTAGTGAAGATATACTTCATTTAACTGATTAAATTCATTAGTTTGCGTGGTCCGCTTGAGCAATTAATATGTTTCAATTAATTTGAATTAATTTTTGTCTACTATTTATCAAAATATATTTGTGTCATTTTTGACTAAATAATTTATAATTTCTTCGTGTCTTTAAATGGGAAAAAGGGTGATTTTCCTATTTCGACGCAGCTTTGTGGTGCCCTCCATGGGAGACCCGAGCAATCTGTGCATCTGTTTCATTAATGGCCCAAGTTGTGCCAAGACGTATGAATGGTAATTTCTCTAATTGACTTTACCTATTTCTAAGTTTTTTCCAACATATGAAAACTGCGAATAATACAGACAGCAGAATAATAACTTACTTTACAATTACAACAAATATTTATATTGATTTTTTAATTCAACACGCTCAAACTGTGGTCAGTTAATTAGTATTGCAAAATGTTCAACAATTATTAATATCATACAGGATCAGTTATTGAAACATTGAAACTTATTACTGGTAGGGAGGATGTGCTATAGTTAAGAAATAGTACAACAAAAATTGACATTACAAAATTTATTAACAATATAAAAATGAAGTATATACAATGTAGTAATGAAGATTATTGGGAAATCGTGAGATGCGGCCTGGTGTGAACCGCATCTCACAATTTCGGAATAATCATCGACTAACGGTTACTAATCACCACGCAGTAATGAAGAATGAATGTAAAGAAATGGATGAAAAGATCAGTGTTGACGGACGATTACAATACTTTGTGGTGACCTCCAACCGCTACAGTTGAGCCAAGACCGTGGCCAGATAAGAAGCCAGAACCGTATCCGAGTCCAGAAACTCCAGAACCGTATCCGAGTCCAGAAACTCCAGAACCGTATCCGAGTCCAGAAACGCCAGTAACACCAGAACCAAATCCGAGTCCAGAAACTCCAGTAAGTCCAGAACCGTACCCGAGTCCAGTAACTCCTGAAGTGTATCCGAGACCAGAAACTCCAGAACCGTACCCGAGTCCAGTAACTCCTGAAGCGTATCCAAGTCCAGAATAACCAGAACCGAAACCGAGTCCAGAAGAGACACCGACTACTGGGGCAGCAGCAACGACTCCAGTGTGGACCGGAACAGAGACGTGGACAGGTACGGGTTGGTGGACGGCTACTGGGTGGGGAACGGGAACTGGTACGTTTCTGACGACAGGAACAGCGACAGGCCTTGGAACAGGCACAGCGACGGGGTGAGGTACAGGTACATTAACAGTGTGGTGAACAGGAACAGGGACACGACGTTCCACTGGTACAGGGTAAGGTCTTTCGACCGGAACTGGGACGGGTCGTGGTACTTGCACTGGGTAGGGCCTGTCGACCGGAACACTGACGGGATGGGGTACAGGAACAGCTACAGTTCTTTCAACAGGAACTGGCACAGGCTGTGGGACAGGAACAGCAACACGGTGAGTGACTGTGACGTGCCTTGACACGACTTCGTTTCCTCCGACCACTCCAGTCGCCAGACCTAATCCAGAGCCAACTCCAGAGCCGAGAACAACTCCAGATCCAAGACCAAGTCCTGAACCGACTCCGTATCCGAGTCCGAGTCCAGATCCAACTCCGAGCCCTGATCCGTAGCCGAGTCCAGAACCGTAGGAGACTCCATGAGCTAGACCAGATCCATACAGTCCTGAGCTAACTCCTCCAAATGTTGAGCCAAATCCTCCTAGACCTCCTCCATATAGTCCTTCGCCATAGACTCCTCGCTTCTCGTGTTTCTTAGTATCACCACCGAACACACCAACGGCCAGTCCGAAGACGAGGCAAATCGTCTGAAACAGTTTTCCATTATTAAGAAATAAAATGACAAACAAATCTGTTTTTAAGAAAGGCAGAAGTGATATTTTACTATAAAAATTGATCTATAAACTATAATTAACGTTATCATAGCTATATTGTATCAACTTTTTATGAATAAATTCAAAAAATGGGATGAACTTACAAATGTGTTCATGTTGGAGGAGCGAACTGAACTGATGAATAACTGTGCCATCTCAGTCTTTTATACAACGTTGTGCGATCCAGCTTCCGCGATTTGAACTTTTATTCCGGTCTTGTCACTTCGCGAATCTTTCAATTATGTAAAATAATATAATTCCACAAAATGTCAAAGCTCTTTTATTTAAAAAGAAAATGTTTTTTCTTCCATATTCCATTACGTATCACTTGCTACACTGAGAACTGCATTTCGGCTATTGTCTTAAAGTTATTGATTACTCGGTGCACAGTCTTCCCTTCATTGTAGCAGCAGAAATCATTACAAACCAAATTTCTTGGTTTGAAACATGGATTTCGTTGTTTCAAACGTTTTCTTCGATGTTTAATGTGGAAAATAAGTCTGTGTCGCGAATGCAACTTAAAAACATTCTCAGCTCAATTCGCAATTGTTTAAGGGAACAGTGTTTGCAGCTGCGACAGAATTTGAGCGGTTACCGTTATAAAGAGTTTTAATGGAGGAGAAAGATGAATTTGTGGTGTACCTGGGACCGAGTTTTAAAGGTAAATTGCACCATGCTAGCTTCTCTTTTCTTTTGAGGCTGCGCCGAGAGCTGCCAGTTATAGTTATATTACTTTGGTAGAAGTAGGATTAAGGGCGAGACTGTTGTACGCATGTTGTACCACCATGACTGCCTCTGTTTCCATAGATTGAGACATAAAGCCCTTATATTTAGAAGCAACCACTCAAAAAATAAAAAAATAAATTAAATTAAGTTACAGTACAATAATTAAATGAATGAAATTTCTATTATTGTTATTTAGACTTATTTTATTAATGTTATTATTATTATTTGACGATCATTATTTAGAGTTTTTAAATTCACTAGTTTCGTGGTCCGCTCGACCAATTAATATCTTACAATTAATTAAGGTTTTCAGCTGAGATAAAAAAGTCAATGTCACGAGCGGGATTCGAACCCACGATCTTAGGCTTAGGCTCTTATCGCCCCACATCTCAACCACACCTTTTGAATTTTCCCTCCTTTTTGCCATTTTTCAAATGTCGTGTAATCAATTTGATTCTCGGCGACAAAGGAAATTATTAGAGTAATTACACATTTAGCTATGATACAAATGTTATTATTGCTCATGGCAAAATCATTGTTTTCTGTTTTGTTTCATTAATTTTGATAGCTGCTTACTATTGTATACATAGTTACTATTAATTAATTTCTTATTTGCAGACGCCATTAGTTATGCAATTATACTTTGTAGACCTTTTAATTTGTATAATGAAGAGAATATTATGCTCTAAAAAAACAGAAAAATTAGTATCAGTATCGATTTTCAATAAATTTATTTTATTGAAAAATGACAAAAAAACATTAAAACAGATTGTTTTTAAAGTTCTTATGTTTTCCATTTTAAACTTTAAAAATGTAAATTTTACTCGAAAATCTATTTTGCCTTTTGTTAAAGTAGATTGTTTAAGCCTAACTGTTCACATCGATAATATATCGTGTGCAATATAATATATGACTCTATAATAATCTTGACTATTTTTCAAAATAGCTTTAATTTCAAGGAAACAACGGTTTAATATCGTACAATCGGAACCATGTTTCCGCCAAATTAATACATTTTCCCTTAATCCCGCTCTTATTTATAATATATGTTTAGTATGTCATGTGTAGCTTTTAAACAGTCAAGATAGGAAATATTGACATTTTCTTGTAATGTTAGTTTAATTAGTCAGAAATCGTGAGATGCGGTCTGGCGTGATGTACGTTTCAGAAAAACATTTCCTTTATCGTGCCACACGTTAGTTTTGATTAAATTTGGTAATTTAATTTAGTTCAATCAATTGGCTATAAAGTTTCAGGATTCATGTGCCAAGTCCTGAAGAAGACAAAAAAGAAAACAAATTTTGAATGCCACGGGCAGCAAATTTTATTTGTTAGTAGAAATTTAAATAATATCAAATAACATTCTCATAAAATAATATGAATAAAATGGTTACTTAAAAGATTTGTTATTTGTTCTTTTCTGCATTCATTATAAATACATGTTTCTGCAGTTTGATTGATTTAAATTAACGTAATTCTGCCGATATATACATGTAAATACATTCACAGATATAAAGAATCTTACAACCTCGATATTGGGTGGTCCGAAGTCGGCCTCCAGCTTCAGGGTCTATCAACTTTTTATGCTTATGTATATCTATTTGCATTTTTATTTGCTCTACTTTCTATATTTAGTATTTATTTTTATAGTACTTCCTATGTTTATTTATTTATAAAAAAGATTTTATTTTAATTTCAGAGTTTAATTATTAATACTATTTAATGGCAATTTTTTCTATTGTAGCTAAGCATTACAGCAAAAGAATAAAAATAAATATCGTGTTTTTGTTAATAAATCCAAAGAATAGAACAACGCTGGTCGAGTAGTCTTATGTAGAATTTGGTAAATGAACTGTGAGACGTGATAACCGAATTATTTCTATAACGTAGGACTTCGTGTAACATTTATTCGAAAAAAGCTAGAACTAAAAACCAGACATGGACATTCTTTTTATTGAATTGAAAGTCTTGAACCCAAAATAAATACATTACATTTTTTTTCAACAACTAAATATATCTTGCCTTCTCGAAATCTCCATTTGGAATACTATAATGATAGTACATTTATGAAGAGAAATTATTAAATCTGAATATTAGTTTAACCTTGCGTATGTAGTGCAAATTGAAATTAATCAACATTTTGATCAGCATGCGATAGATACAATTTGTAGAATTGTATTGTCGATTTTATTGGTTTGGTACAAACGAGTGTGAGATATTATTAAGCAAATTCTCACGGAAAGTTGTTTTAATAATTAATCTTAATCACGTATGTATTTTTTCACTTTATTAAAACAATTGGAAATATAGATAAATATATTGATTCTAATATGGTATATTATTGCTATGTGCTTTTGTTTATTCATGACCGGCGAAAGAAAATTTCACGGAAAATTTACGAGTTAAAATATTTAAAATTTGCCTTTTAACAATTACATAAAATTATTGAAAATCGATACTGCTTCAAGACATGGAATTGCATTATTTTACATAATTTCAAGATTCGCGGAGTGACAAGACCGGAATAAAAGTTCAAATCGCGGAAGCTGGATCACACAACGTTGTATAAAAGGCTGAGATGACAGAGTTGTTCATCAGTTCGGTTCGTTTCTCCAACATGAACACATTTGTAAGTTCATCCCATTTCCCATATACAATATATTTGTGATAATTGTTAATGATAGATTATTGAGCAATTTTTAATAAAAGATACAGTTATATTAGTTACATGTGTGGTTAAATTTACAAGAGTATAATTAGTAAAAATATAACTCAAACTTAAAAAATAACTATCGTTCCTCCAACATGAACACATTTGTAAGTTCATCCATTTCATAACATGTTGATAGAACAGTGGGACGATCTTTGTTTATTGTGCTTCATGGTTCAGTTTTACCACGAACCTACGATGTTCAAGCAAGTTTGATGTGTACATAAATTTAACTTTAATTCACAATAAGACCAATGTTAAATATTATCACTTGCGTTTCGTTAAAATTTCTTAATAATGGAAAACTGTTTTAGACAATTTGCCTCGTCTTCGGATTGGCCGTTGGTGTATTCGGTGGTGAAACCAAGAAACACGAGAAACGAGGAGTCTATGGCGAAGGACTCTATGGAGGAGGTCTAGGAGGATTTGGCTCAACATTGGGAGGATTTGGCTCAGGGGTGTATGGATCTGGCCTTTCCCATGGAGTCTCATACGGTTCTGGATTTGGCTACGGATCAGGGCTCGGAGTTGGATCTGGACTCGGTCTCGGATACGGAGTCGGTTCAGGTCTTGGATCAGGAGTTGTTCTCGGCTCTGGAGTTGGCTCTGGACTAGGTCTGGCGACTGGAGTCGTCGGAGCAAACGAAGTCGTGTCAAGGCACGTCACAGTCACTCACCGTGTTGCTGTTCCTGTCCCTCAGCCCGTACCAGTCCCTGTTGAAAGAACTGTAGCTGTTCCTGTCCCCCATCCCGTCAGTGTTCCGGTCGACAGGCCCTACCCAGTACAAGTACCACAGCCCGTCCCAGTTCCGGTCGAAAGACCTTACCCTGTCCCAGTTGAACGTCGTGTCCCTGTACCAGTTCACCACACTGTTAATGTACCTGTACCTCATCCAGTCGCTGTGCCTGTTCCAAGGCCTGTCGCTGTTCCTGTCGTCAGGAACGTACCAGTTCCCGTTCCCCACCCAGTAGCCGTCCACCAACCCGTACCTGTCCACGTCTCTGTTCCGGTCCACACTGGAGTCGTTGCTGCTGCCCCAGTAGTCGGTGTCTCTTCTGGACTCGGTTTCGGTTCTGGTTATTCTGGACTCGGATACGCTTCAGGAGTTACTGGACTCGGGTACGGTTCTGGAGTTTCTGGACTCGGATACGCTTCAGGAGTTTCTGGACTCGGATACTCTTCAGGAGTTTCTGGACTCGGGTACGGTTCTGGACTCGGATTTGGTTCTGGTGTTACTGGAGTTTCTGGGCTGGGATACAGTTCTGGAGTTTCTGGACTCGGATACGGTTCCGGCTTCTTGTCTGGCCACGGTCTTGGCTCAACATTAGCTGGTGGAGTTCACCACAAAGTATTGTAAGCGCCAGTAAACACCGATCTTTTCATCTATTCTTTCACATTCGTTATTTCTTCATTGTACATACTTCATTTTAATAAATTTTTATTGTATATGTGTATTGTAACCTGTATAACTATTCTATCTAACCACCAAAGTATTCAATAATTGTTTATATATGACAGTGATGGTTATTATACACAAGACTAAATCAGTATCTCTGGTCACGTAAGCAAGTTTAATACGGTTGCCTAAAACTCAAAAGAAAACAAACTCCATCAGAAAAATAAGAAAGACTGATATATTTTGGTAATACATGCGTCTAGATCACTAATTTAACATCTGCATTGAAAGCCATATTCAATTTTCCGCCTATATCAGTGAAAAGGGACCTTGGGTGCTTAAAGATGGCACAAAAAGTACTCATGCTGGTACTAAGGTTACGGAAAATTCAAAATTTTGTAGACGTACAAAAATGATCAAAATGTAGTTAGATATATAACAACAAAAACTTGGATAAACAATACCAAATGCTAATCAATAAGAGAGAAATCGAAACATAACCCAATTCAAGGCGAAAAAAGAAAGTTTTACAGACAAATAATAAATGTAAGATATGATTACGCTGTCATTTAACCAAAATTATTCTAGCAAAAAAATGTAGTTTTTAAATATATTACGAACAGTTGGTTGTGAAAATGAATACTACTGAATACATATTTATATGAGCACTAAATAATCCATAAATTATCCATTGAAATCAGACGTTTTGAGACAAAACTGCAAACTTGCAACAATAAGAAAATAGAGGGGGCATCGGTGGCCACAACGGTTTAGGCGTTGACACGGCGCTCATCACTTTAAGGTAAAGGTCCCGGGTTCGAATCCAGCGGCCCTGCATTCGAACCCGACATACTTACAAATGGGCTTCTTTTTAAAAACACCGGCACCCCGAGGGTTTATATCCCTCTTTAAAAAAAAATCTACAAATGAGAGAGACACAAAATTAAGGGATTTTTGCAACAGTCCAAGTTATCCTGCTTGTGATTTGAGTTCATAATTGCCAAAGTCACAGGATCAATGAAAAAAACAGGTTTAAAAAATTGAGAAGATTTAAAAAATCTTAAACATTTAAAATTTTTATAGGTTCAAAATGAAAACAGTATAGATCTATAAATTGTCTTATGATGTCAAAAGCTTGAAAAACATTTTCATATAATGAGAGATGTTAATTATAGTCAATAATTAATGCTGGTTATGACTTTAACGTAATTCAGTTGACATAAATAAATTTTTTTTTGATAAGTACTCCTTGTGCGCGAGCAATCTTTTACTGCCTACTTAGCTCTCTTACGCCTACCTCTTTTTTCTTACTATACTTAACTGTTATTAAGTTGAACAGGATCGGAAAGATATCAAATAATTGAACTAAAGTTTTGCCAAGCCTTCATCGTAAATTATGCCATCACCAGTTTCTAAGTGTTATAAATTTACCTTTAACAAAATAATTTAAAAATTCACATTAATGTTAATGTTAATGTAGTAGTTATTCTACTATTATTTATACAACGTTAATAATCTCTGCAGGTAACTGAAGGTTAATTTTTACAACTTACAATGAGTCATTGTTAATTATGTTAATAGTGTTACCTGAGAGACAACCAAAAATAAAGTCTAATTATTAACTTTTTTCTGTGCATAGCTATTTTGCGGATAAATTTTACTCAATATCAAATCACTGATATAGTTTTCTGGCTCCAGACCGAGTTCTATATCAATACTTGTCTATAGGTATCCTTCATTTTTATACAATTTAAAAAAATCGAAGAACATCAACCTGGAACTAAGTGAATCTATCTTTAGATTATATTTTTTTGGGTTTAGATGAATGTACAATTACAATATTCTTTAAGGAACCTTCTATTGTACCCTCTCTCTATTTAATATCGTAGGATTACCTAATTTAAAGAAATGATTAGTTCTTATGCTATGCATTGATAATCCTAGTCTACTTTTATTAGTGCAGTCAGCACGGTGCTGATCCATTCGCATACCTAAGGACTGTTTTGTTTGACCAATATAGATAACTAGAATTTCCCGGCGATTTAGCCTACTCGGACACGCGGTACTCTGTTTTAATGTACCTTTCTAATGCGATGCAGAGTGCTAGTATGGCTTTCTAATATAATGTTTCGATTCTCAAATACTTTCTTCTTCAGTTCACTTCGGTCTATACATGGTAAAAATCGTCCATCTGATCCCGTTAGGGATAGAATTTCGAGAAATCCTTTCTCATCGGTTATCTATGTCATTATAGGAATGCACTCCCAAAATTTCAGCCGCTTAGATCCAGCGGTTTGGTCTGTGCGTTCTCTGTCAGTNTTTTTTTAATCTAAAATATTCTAGCATTGCATAAATTCATTTTTTCACATCCTTCATGTATTTGTAAAATTTAAACAATGTTTATAAATCCCAGGCGGCCCTGAAGATGATCTCAAAAAGATCGAAGCGGTAGCACATAAAGAAAATGTTTTTCTAAAACCTACGTCACACCCGACCGCATCTCACGATATCCGAATAATTGTGTATAGTTAGGAATGGAATCTCAAGAAATCCTATTTTCACGGCTTTCCTTGTCGTTATAAGAATGCACTGTCAAAATTTCAGCCGTCTAGAACCAGCGGTTTGGTCAATACGTTGTCAGTCAGTAGTCACGAACTGTTTTATATATAGATACGTTCGATAAAACCCTTTGTTTGTTAATCAATTTGGCCGGGACTTGATTACCCCTTAAAATGGAAAAATCGTATTCTTATTAGCTTTATGGAATATCGGATTATTATCATAATTTACTTTCATTATATGGGAATGTGCAGAATTATAGTCAAAGAATATAACCGTATTTGAAGGTTTTGCGTGCCAAATTTGTGTGATGATGTGGTATATTAATACATTGAAACTTGGCGAAACCTTAGTATGGTTATTTGACCTTATTCCGACCCTCTTCAACTTAATTATTAAATGTAGGTCGATCAAACCATACTTTATTTTAAGTTTGCTGCCCTTAGTATGTCAGTGCCTACTTTAATTTTGTTCATTCCAAGAGTTAACTATTTCGTGTAGAGTAGCCAAATTGTACGTTTGAGGCGAAATCGGGACAGAAGTTCCATTGTCTATTAAACTGAGTACGAGGCAGACAAGAGTCCTTAACATTATTCTTGGGCGCACTGCTTTATTTCCTGTCAATATAACAAGATCCTAGTTTAAACCGCTATGTTGAAGGGATTAAAGTCGTGCTAATCCGGCCCGGAGGACCGAGTTTAACAAATCTCGGTCTAATTGAGGTGCTGTGAAAGATCCAAGAGAATCTCATCAATTTTACGCGAAAAAGTATAGCAAAAACGGCAAACACATTGCAAAACCTTTTTAAGCGTAGAGAACATGGGAATTATTCTATTAGGAAATTTCTATTGAAAAAGGATCTCCACAAAACCAATCAGGGTATCTTTGATTTCCTCTCACTCTTGTTGAAGTATTAACGTGTAAGCCAGAATCCTTAAGGAACTGTGATCGGAAAAAGGCGAAAGACCCTGCGTCTTGAGGTGTGCTTCAAAAGTACGGAGTAAAGCCTCACAAAACCGGATTGTGCTTCAGAAAAATGCTTCCATTCCCTGCTTCGTTGTTTCCAAAGTCTGCACCATTATTTACAACTGAACTGATGAGGATTATTTAACCAAGAAAGAACTAATAATGGAATCAAAAAATAATGCGGAGACTTAAATGCGAAGTTTAATTCGGGAATATGCTTTACGAGAAAAGGAGAAGTGCAGTACGAAGTTCGTTATATAATAGGGCTTCTCAAAAATTTTAGCCTGCGGACCTCTCTTATTTAAAATTAAATACTTTAGTTAATTAAAGTTTATAAATTAGCCAGTCCGGTCCTCATTAGGTGATGGCGGAGGCTATCACTCCTAAAGCAAAACATTAAATTTACATACTTAATTTTAAATACAAATTCCGGAACACAAAAATCAAATAGGTCAGAACGAATCAATTCATAAATCAATTTGAAAAGTAATAATTTGAACATTAATGATTAATGCATTAATGGGACGAATGAGTTGTTTTAACCTGCACAATATGCATATGTTGGTATTAATATTTGATAGCTGAAAACGTATGTCAGCAGAAAATCCGGATTCACATCGGTAAGTTGTGGCAAATGGAAGAAGAACATGTTTTGCTATTTCATCGGATTCGGAAGTAAATTTCAAGGTAGAGTCTGAAGTAATGTCTCTCCAACCTTTGTATTCACTTCAAGATAGACTGGTTGGCTTAGGAGAAACTGAAAATTCTGTTTCACCATCTAAGGCCTGGAGCATGGTATCTCGAGCTGTTGGGAAGTAGTGCTCAAAAGACCTCTCCAAACTTCGAAGGTTTTCACTTATTTCATCAATCAACGTGCCGTTCCCAAGCTCTAGTTTGCTTTCTTTTAAAAGATCATTTAACACGGGAAAACACTCCACCTTTTCCATCTCCACAGATTAAACCTAATAATGAATTTTAGTTTTCAAAGCGCGAACTTTGCAATTAGTATCGAAAATGTGATACTCTTCGCTTGCAAAGAAGAACTCATCTCATTCATATTCATGAAAATATCTGATAAATACAACAGTATACATTGCGGTACATCATTGAAAACATTGCCCAATTTGGCGTTTTGACTTCAGAACGTAATTCCTGTGATCTTCTGTATGGAGAAGCCGGAAATGATGAAGGCTTGTGAAAAGTCTTCACTTCAATGGCAGCGATTTGATATAAGTAATAATTTGAACTAATCATCCAAACTTACTTAAAAGAGGGTCGCATTGGTTTCATAGAAAAACATGTCGATGGTGAACACAATGACTGCTGCTGCATAAAAAACTTCGTTTTCAATACTAATTGTTATTAGTTTTTAATTTTATTTATTCGTGCTGCGTTTATTTTTACAATTTTTTTCTCGCGAAGTTCGCTGCGGGTAATTATTGGGATTGTTTTCATGAAGAGCTACTCTGCTTTTGGACCTCAAAAATAATATTCGCATGCTTTATTGCCCAGAAATTGAAGTAATGTGACAGCAGGATTCAAAGAAGAAACTTAAAATCCTGATAAATGACAAGTTTTAGGAAGAAAACTGATCATAAGATACACAACAACCTAAAGATGAGAACATATCAAATGAGGAATTAAGCCTCTTACTGAATCAATTAGAATTTAGAACGTGAAAATCTTATGTCTTCATAACCCAAATAAAATATGTGACTAAAAAGCCAGCATGATAGTTGTCCAGGTTTTGAAAACTCAAGCAAACCCGAGATCACACTTGTTTTATGCAGTTCAGAAATTAAAGAGTGAATGATTTAATAAGGGTTAATATTTATTTAATAATTTTTCACCAAAATGGTTCAAAAAGTAGTCAAAGGATAGGAATCATGTGTGGTAATTAGTGACCGTTTGTCGTTGATTATTCAGAAAACGTGAGATGCGGTCTGGTGTGATGTAGGTTTCAGAAAAACATTTTCTTTATTGTGCCAACGTTTCGATCTTTATTGAAATCATCTTCAGGGCCTGGGATTTACAAACATTGTTTAAATTTAACAAAAACATGTAGGATGTGGAAAAAAGTGAATTTATACAATGCAAAAAAAATTTTTATATTCAATCAAAGTATTTTTATTGAAATTAAAACTCAAAGTGTTTGTTTTCTGCGAAGAATAAGGTGTTGAGTGAGTAGAAATACTTTGATTGAATATAAAAAAAAAATATATTTTTTGCATTGTATAAATTCACTTTTTTCCTACATCCAACATGTTTTTGTTAAATTTAAACATTGTTTGCAAATCCCAGGCCCTGAAGATGATCTCAATAAAGATCGAAACGTTGGCACGATAAAGAAATGTTTTTCTGAAACCTACATCACACCAGTCCGCATCTCACGATAGGAATCATTTTCAACTTAACTGTCAGCAATTCTAAGTCTATCATAGAATAAAATATATTGCGTGAATACGAAAATATTGGAAAACGGAGGCAATGACTTAGCACATCTGCCAATATATTGATAGAATTAAGATTTAGATAGTATTTCATTGCAGTTTATTACATTATTCTATTCAACAGCATTGCCAGCCTATAAAAAATAAAAAACACGATAAGGTCAATGTGGTTTTTGTGGATTTGGATGCAAATGGCGTGATGATTAGCCACAGCCCGCAATCATTTCAAAACATTAACCACAGTTTAAGGAATCAATCATTTAAAGTTTACTTGGCCTAAACCAAAAATAGCTGCATTTACAAATGGTTTAAAAACAGAGAAAAACTAAAAATAATAAAACGGGCCAAGTACAAAAGGTAGTTGAATTACGTTAAACTGTCTGGATAACATTGTTTATATGTTTCAGCCTTTAACCGCCAAATTTTTTTTTTTTGACGAATTCAATAACAAAAGTGTGAAGAGTGCATGGGTCTCAAATTAATGGAACAATCAAATTTCTATTTAATAAAATATTTAAATCAACAAATCAATGCTTAGTACGACTTATGAGGGACAAACACAAGATTCAACTTACTGCACTGAAAGAGAAAAAACAATAGATTATTCATTTTGAAAATTTCTTCAGCACTATTTCAGTCTTAAAAGCTGATTCTTAATCTCAATATTAATCAAAAATTTCAAGTTGTCTAAGACTTTCAAGAAAGGGAGTTCAATATATCTCAAAGATTAGGGCAAATACGAATCAGGATAGAAATCATGTCAATACAAAAAAGGGAAAAGTGAAAATCGAAGTAAAAATGTAAACTGTGTTTAAAATTCTGAACAAAATTCATGAACCATAAATTCGAAAGTGTTACAAGTGGTTGAACTATATTATTTTATATAATTGGTCAAATCGCAAGACTGAGGGACAGGACCGGACTAAAAGTTCAAAGAGGCGGAAGCGGGATCGTATAACTTTGTATAAAAGGCTCGGATGACACAGATGAGCATCAGTTGAGTTTGTCCCTCCACCATGAATACATTTGTAAGTTCATCTCATTATTCAAATGTATTCTCAAATTTTGTAGAATATTATTGTGTCATGTCTTGTTCATGGATCAACTGTTGTTCTGAACACACAGTGTTTCTATTATTTACACAAATGTATACATTTATTACATACAGATTTCATACGTGCAATAGAATAATTGTTATAAACATAATTTATATTACATAATATACAGGAATTAAAATTTCGTCAGTTGTATGCATATCTATAAGTTACATTGGCATTATATAAACAAATCTATTATCTTATCTTGATAATAATGTCATTCTTATTCTATTATATAGGTTGTTGTTAAGATTTATTTTTTATCTATTGCAAAGAGGGAGACAACAAAAAACACTAACAAAAAGAATTTTTTATGTATTAACAAGCATCAATTTCGAGATACTGCTTGCTCCCCTTCATCAGTGTTGACTTAAAAATACCCAGTTTCATGAAATACTATTTTCATATGATTTGCATATTTTCAATATGATCATTAATATAAAAACTTTGCATTTCTTCAAATATAAATCTTTTGAATATATTGCTAAGTGATGAAAAACTGTTTCAGACAATTTGCCTAGTCTTCGGATTAGTCGTTGGTGTGTTTGGAGGTGATATCAAGAAACACGAAAAGCGAGGAGTCTACGGCGAAGGACTTTATGGAGGAGGTCTGGGAGGATTCGGCTCAGGATTGTATGGATCTAGTGTGGGCACTGGTGTCTCCTACGGTTCAGGCTTTGGTTACGGATCTGGGCTCGGAGTCGGTTCTGTAGCTGGCGTTGGATCTGGACTCGGTCTCGGATATGGAGTTGGAAGCGGACTCGGATATGGTTCTGTAGCTGGCGTTGGATCTGGACTCGGTCTCGGATATGGAGTTGGAAGCGGACTCGGATATGGTTCTGGAGTCGGTCTTGGATCCGGAGTTGGACTCGGATATGGAGTTGGTTCTGGAGTCGGTCTCGCCACTGGAGTTGTCGGAGGAAACCAACTCGTTTCAAGACACGTCACTGTCACTCACCGTGTTGCTGTTCCTGTCCCACAGCCTGTTCCAGTCCCTGTTGAAAGGACCGTCCCTGTACCAGTACCGCATCCCGTCAGTGTTCCAGTCGACAGGCCCTACCCGGTACAAGTGCCACAACCCGTCCCAGTTCCCGTAGAGAGGCCTTACCCTGTCCCAGTTGAACGCCGTGTCCCTGTACCTGTTCACCACACTGTAAATGTACCTGTACCACACCCAGTCGCTGTTCCTGTACCAAGGCCAGTTGCTGTTCCTGTTGTTAGGAACGTACCTGTTCCGGTTCCCCATCCAGTAGCTGTCCCACAACCCGTACCTGTCCACGTCTCTGTTCCGGTCCACACTGGAGTTGTTGCTGCTGCCCCAGCAGTCGGCGTATCTTCTGGACTCGGTTTCGGTTCTGGCTATTCTGGACTCGGATACGCTTCAGGAGTTTCTGGTCTTGGCTACACTTCTGGAGTTTCTGGCCTCGGATACGCTTCTGGAGTTTCTGGCCTCGGATACGCTTCTGGAGTTTCTGGGCTGGGATTCGGCTCTGGAGTTTCTGGCTTAGGCTACGCTTCAGGAGCTTCTGGACTTGGATACGGTTCCGGTGTTACGGGAGTTTATGGACACGGATTCGGTTCTGGAGTTTCTGGTCTCGGTTACGGTTCTGCCTTTTCATCTGGTCATGGTTTTGGCTCAACCGTAGCAGTTGGAAAACATCACAAAGTATTTTAGTCGGGGAGAAGCGCCAAACATCAATTCATCCACTTTTTCACATTCACTGTTCATTATCTCATTGTAAATACTACATTTTTATATTGTTAATAAAGGTTTAATTGTACACTGCATTATATTTTATTTTCCCTAATAATGTTAATAACTCTTCGTGTATTCATTGATAAGTTTGCACGTTTAATATTTCTCCTTCGAATTATACTGTCTTCCTACTCTCATCCTATAAGCTTGCTTATAACGATTTCTAAAGTTCAATAAATGTTTCTTGAATCTATTATTTTCGAGTGATTTTTTCGTTAGTATTTTTACATGGGAAGTAAAGAATGAAGCACAACGAAATCTTTATTACTGAGCTGGTAAACAATAAACAATTGTTAAGCCTTGATCAAACCTTTATAATCTCTAATTAATTTTATAAAAGGTAATTATTAATCCTAGTATTGGACATTGTAAGATGATTTCTTCACAAACACAATTAAGTGTCTAACTTACAATTAATGTTGTTTGCTTGTGTTTGCACCATCCTGTCACTTCTTTAATTTTTCAGATTTATCCCGTCCGTTATTTTTCATTTTACCTGCTATTTTTATTTAATGATCGACATGCATGACCGTAGATTTGAAGCAATGATACTACTGTTCAAATTCAGTGCAAGAGAGTTTATCTGAATTAGTGTTCACTTCTTTATGGGTGCTTTAAATACATTTTCATCCCTTTCGATTATTTTTGTAAAAAGGCTTATAACGGTATATGTCGAAACTTGAGAAACCTGGTTTGCACACATGTCGTTCAGAACTGACCACAACTGAGAGCAACCTGCGATTTCGAAACTTTTAAATCCGAAGCAATTCGTTTTAGCATAAAAATTGATAATTCCCATAAGTTTAAAATTAAAATGATAAATTTTGTCGAGAAAGACTTATTAACCCTATTAAATATAAAACAAACACTCGAAGAAACAAGAATTCTCCTGACATAAAAGACCATTAAAGGCGTTTTTGAGTGATCCTAACCTCTCTTCTTAGTTTTAGAATTTAGCCCTGGTATGCAAGAATGTGGTCTTCCTCAGGAACGGCTGGGATTGGATGGGTAAAAACACATAATATTGTTGTTTTTGTGATGGATTACTTGCTGAATTTTTGTTTCTCATTTTTAATAGATTCTGTCATTCATGGTGTGTTTATTCTGTTAACCACTACATCAGACATGGTTTCTGATATGCTATTAAGTTTTAAACATAAACGAGCAACAGATAATAACCACAGACAGGAAAACAAGGAAAACATGATATGAAATGAATGCTGCAACGGTACAACAAGAAAAAAATTATTAAATTATTTACATTAATATAGCAAAAAGATACATACTACGTTTATCTATTATTTTGTTTACACAATATATATATGCATATACATATATATCCAGCCCAGTAAAAATAAAACTTTTGGAGTGAGCGGAAGTTTTAACTTAGTGAATCAATTTATCTGGTACATAATATTCATAATATTATTATGAAGTTGTAGTTGTATTATGTTATATATATTTTTTATTTCTCATTTTATTTATTTATTTATTTTTAATTTTAGATGGATGGTACATAATAAGGAAGAAAAATGAAAAGGATGACCTTCTGGTTAAATTTGGCATTTTTCTGTTTTTAGATATCACTTTTTTATGATTTACATTTCTAATAAGAGATCTTTTTGAAAATCCTAAATTGAAAGGGCAATTATTGTATCCTTTAATTTTTATTTTATCTTTATTTGAATTTATTGCATTTTATTTTATTTTCGTTTTCTCTGTTCATTATTTTTATTTTTATTTCATTTATTTGGTCTTATACACCTTCTAATTTTTTTCAATTTAATTTTTAGCAATTTTGTTCACCGTCATAACTCCTGCCAACTGTTACAATCACTGCTTTTAGGTGACAGGCGAAAATGTTCATATTGGTTAAATGACTTTCTTTCCAGTTATGGTTTTATTATTTTATCCTTAAATTTTCTCTCTATTTATGTTTTATCTTACAGTATTACTGTACTTTTCGCAAATAAATTATTCATTAAAATAATTAATAAAATTTAATAAAATAATTAAAGTTATAATCAGTTTCACATCTATCATTTGCCCATGATATAAAAAAGAAGCGTATTAGTTTTGAAAAAACGTCTTGTTCATTTTTTTTGCCGACGTTTCGATCTTTATTAGGGCCATCTTCAGGGCCTGGGTGAATTACACAAAATGTATGTTGATTAGACAAAAACAATATGCAGATGTAACCAAGTATATCATAGTCACATAAAGTGTGGTGCTACTTTTGTGATGTCATTTTGTTCGAAATGTGAAATGACGTGATAAATGTATTTTGTTTGTTTTTATAGAACATAAGTAATCTCAATGCAAGCTCACGAACCATCAATCTGGTACCGACTATAATCACTTAGAAATTCAACAAATAGGATTATTTTTTTTAAATTTTAATAAAAGATCTCTCTTACAAGAACAACAAAACTCATGTAACTAGAAAAGTCAAAAGTTTTATCTTCCAAGTAAAAAAGTCATAATAAAACCGGCTAAAAATTCTCCGATACCACCAAGATTTACCAACAACAATGTATAACTACAAATAATAGTAAGCGCAGGAATTCTATCCACAAAAATTGTTGCTCAACGCGACTCAAAAACTATAATCAGAAGTGGTTGTACGTTCACTTCGCTCGTTGTTCTAAAACTAAGATTGCAACCATTCTTGCGTCCTGGGTCATTAACTATTCTATTCTTTAAATAATACACAAAACGTTATCCTTTGGAAAGAAGTCAAGAACGTCAATCTGTTTTGTTGGTTCATCCAACATTTTTATAAAATCTGAATAAATGTTTACTAAAAATAAATCTTACAAATAAAATAAATGCTTTGATTTTATTATGTTTTGATCTAGATGTGCGACTTTATAGTACCGTCAGTTTATTTTATTTTTTGATTTGTGGTCAGAATGAATTCCCCCTTCATTTCTTTAAGTGTTCTATCACTGTTTTGTAGTTGGCTTAGAAGAATTAAGTTTATTTAATGAAATACAGAATTCGTCTTAGTGGTAGGTCTGTATTGCACAATAATTGCTTTACTAGGTACCACGGTTTTACCTCGCTATTATATGACAGTTCCATAACATATCCTGTTGTATTTTCTCTAGGTATGGTCATTTTTTAAAAAGTTTCAATAATTACTAACTCTTTTATAAAACATTTGTCTGTTAATTTTCTGGGCGTAATGTGAGAGGTGGTGGTTTGAAGGGTTGGACCAAAACAAGGCACAAAAGTACATCGTGGGGAAGCATGATAAAAAGGCATAAAAAAAATCGTAGTGGCATCAAAGAAATGATCGAGTTTAACATTATTTAGTACACAGTAAGTAATTTACGTACGCTTTTCAACAATTCGTGCTTCTTCGCCTTCCAATACTGAAATACACTCTTGGAAAAGCACGACTTTGTTTTCCAATCGATGGCAAGTTTTTACGGGTCTTCGAACATCGAGAATGTGAAATTAGAATGGAAAGAGTGTTTAAGTTTTACATCAATACAAAAGTATTCGTATCATCACCTCAATCAATTGAGAGATAAAATTGGAGGAAATAATTGTTCATGAGTAGTAGATTCATGAATACATTTCTTTGTTACCAAATAACAAAGACTGTTGGTATGGTTAAAGACATAGTATTGCGGACAATGATGATTTATTTAACTGAAAGGGAACATTTGCTCGTCAGCAATCGGAACATTGAAAATAATATATTTTACATTTTTATAACAATTACTTTTTGCAATAGTACAAGGTGCCATACAAAGGTATATTTTTCTGTTATTCTGGCTGTGGGAAGCAATTACAACAACATCTTGATATCTCATAATCTGATTTTTTTTACTTGTTAATGTAAATGAGCTCATACATTTTTATGGACCAGTCATAAGTAAATAAAATACAAATTAATAACAAAAACATTGATTTATGTTATTTATTTTATGAATCACCCGTTTTATGAAAGATAAATAATAAATCCAGTAACACGAGGACTAAATCCTACTCCCAATAACTGCAGAAGAGTATACCAAAAAACTCAGACTGTACAATTCGCCGAGAAATGTTAAACATACTGACTTATCAATGAATACCTGAGTTATTAACAGTATTATGGAAAATAAAATACAATGCAATGTACGATTAAACCTTTATTAACAATATAAAAATGTAGTATTTACAATGATATAATGAACAGTGAATGTGAAAGAATGGAGGAAATGATGTTTGGTGCTTCTTCCAGACTACAGTACTTTGTGATGTTTTCCAACTGCTACGGTCGAGCCAAAACCATGACCAGATGAAAAGGCAGAACCGTAACCGAGACCAGAAACTCCAGAACCGAATCCGTGTCCATAAACTCCGGTAACACCAGAACCGTATCCAAGTCCAGAAACTCCTGAAGCGTATCCTAAACCAGAAACTCCAGAGCCGAATCCCAGCCCAGAAACTCCAGTAACTCCAGAAGTGTATCCGAGCCCAGAAACTCCAGAAGCGTATCCGAGGCCAGAAACTCCAGAAGCGTATCCGAGGCCAGAAACTCCAGAAGTGTAGCCAAGACCAGAAACTCCTGAAGCGTATCCGAGTCCAGAATAGCCAGAACCGAAACCGAGACCAGAAGAGACACCGACTGCTGGGGCAGCAGCAACAACTCCAGTGTGGACCGGAACAGAGACGTGGACAGGTACGGGTTGTGGGACAGCTACTGGATGGGGAACCGGAACAGGTACGTTCCTAACAACAGGAACAGCGACAGGCCTTGGTACAGGAACAGCGACTGGGTGTGGTACAGGTACATTTACAGTGTGGTGAACAGGTACAGGGACACGGCGTTCAACTGGGACAGGGTAAGGCCTCTNACCCCAGAAGCGACTCCGAGTCCAGATCCGTAACCGAAGCCTGAACCGTAGGAGACACCAGTGCCGACACTAGATCCATACAGTCCTGTGCCAACTCCTCCCAATGTTGAGCCAAATCCTCCTAGACCTCCTCCATATAGTCCTTCGCCATAGACTCCTCGCTTCTCGTGTTTCTTAGTATCACCTCCCAACACACTAACGGCAAATCCGAGGACAAGGAAAATTGTCTAAAACAATTTTTCATCATTTAGAAATAAATTTAACAAGATTATCTTTTAATAAATTAAAATATTTTTTGTTCTAATGATCTTATTGCAAATACAACTTAAATAATTATGGACAACCATATAACTGAATAAAATCTTGATGTGTCTCTTTTTTGGCACGAAATAAAAACCTTAAATTAGAACATATATATTTTTATCTCAAAATTGTTACAAATCAAATGAAATTAGACAAGGCAAACCGTAGCAATAAATTGTTTCATACTTTATATAAATGGCAATTTCAGATTGGTTTCTATGTAAAGTTACATAGGAAATATTATATTGTCAATGAAAGGTAAATTTATCCACTAGTGAACATAATAGAAAAACTTTCTGTCCATAGCACAAAGTAATCCCTCAACAAGACGTTGTATACGTTACTTCGAAATAATATTGTACGAAATTTGTGATTACATTTAAAAAAATATTATGAACTTACAAATGTATTCATGTTGGAGGGACAAACTCAACTGATGCTCAACCATGTCATCTCAGCCTTTTATACAACTCTAGGCTATTCTGCTTCCGCCTCTTTGAACTTTGAATCCGGTCTTGTCCCTTCGCGTGTATTGTGATTTGGATAATTATGTAAATATATAGCTTAGTATATTAGAACATTACAGGTTTTAATGGAAATTCATAATTTGGAAAAAATTACAATACTTATTTGTAATTACTTTAAATAGTCTTACCCACTTTTTCAGAATAATTATAACGTTATGTTTCTATTAATATTACAAGATTCAGAATGAAATTGGATTTTGGTGTTTTTTATAAATGGATATTTTAAAATAATGACATAATCCACAAAGAAAATTTATAATCATAACAACACATCGTGACTATTATCAATGTTACAGATTATTTTCTTACTATTTTTTTTATAGTATTTTGTCAAATCACAGTTTAAGAAGCCATCCATTTCTTACTACAAACTAATGGCACATTTGCGGATTTATACAAATGAAGTGACGTGATTCTTCCATGTGATTATCGAAGTATATTATTGAGAATATTTTAACTTCCGTTGAATGATATCGTAAAAGAAGAATAAAATGATGGTGCTTACCTCAAACGTAAAACCAGAATTTATACAAATTTCAAAAATATCAGGTAATAAATAAAGAAGAATGTAAATAAAGATAATAGCGAAAAACCGATAAATCCGGTTCCAAATTAAATTTCGCCTTTAAATTTTACCTCACATGTAAAAAAAAGGGTGAAATACACGATTTATGTCCGACAAATATAGTGGCCGTTACTTTTCAACCAGATGCAGCGAGTAAAGGCTTTCTAATTATTATTTTGATCGTTGATACTTGCTTTGTTAATCTTTTATCCATAAAACGAGCATTCCAATTTTTGTTTAAAAAAATAATGAAATAACCCCAAAAATCTTTGTAAAAGGTCACAATAGCACATCACTGTGTTGCAACAAGTTGTTCCTCGTCCCACATTTCTCGTATGGAGAACAACTTTTTAAATAAAACATTTGACTAGAGCTATAAAAATCTATGAACCTGGGATGTAACCATTTGCGTAAGATATGATAAATTGTACTCAAGCTAATCAGAATAATTGAACTAATTTACTGTTAAATACAATCTGAATAAAATTCAGCAATATTTAGCAAAATGAATGTCAGTATAGCTCCATATTAACAATTTTAAAATCTGTAAATAGCTCAATTGTAAAATTACGAGTTTTAATGTCTATAATTTTCTAGATAGTTTTCAATCTGATATAACAAATTGTAACCTTAGCATTATGAGCTAAGCAACACCGATCTAGTCATTCGTCCATTTACTTGCCAAGATCACCTATCAAAAAAATCGAGAAAGTTTTAACTAAAATTATAAGTTTCTATTTTTATGTTTAAATATATACGTGAATTATAAATATTAAAAAACGGGAAAAGTTGCTACGACAACTGAACATTGTGGGTTTCATCTTAGCCACACTTTACATAAAATTTATAAATTAGTTTAAGTAATTACATGGGTTTAATAGGGCCAACTAAAATACACATGAATTAGCTACCTAATAATACTGAAGACTTTTTTTAAAACCCATACTTAAAGAAAGTACTTTTTTTAGATTTTTACGAGAATTCGCAACAGCAGAGATCATATAAACCCTCGGAGTGCCGGTGTTTTTGAAAAAAAAAGCGCATTTGTAAGTATGTTGGGTTCGATGGATGGATTCGAACCCGGGACCTTTACCTTAAAGTGTCAACGCCTAAACCGTTGCGGCCACCGACGCCCATAAAGAAAGTACTTTAAAACCACGTAAGTGCATTTAAAACATTAAACAAGTACATTTAAAATGACACATACTTTAAAATAAGCACATTTAAAAAATCCACACATTTAAAAGGACTACACAATAAAAATCCTCATAGTTTAAAAACCCCTATTACTTTGTCACTAAAAAACTACATACTTTATACATTTAAAAGAACCACATACTTTAAAAAACCACATATTTTAAAAACGTACCCACTTTAACAACCACATACTTTTAAAACCCAGAAACTTTGAAAAACTACATACTTTAAAAGCCACGCAATAAATAATAATTAATAAATAATAAAGAAGATATTTAAACATTTTGTTTTTCAAATTTTTAATATGATAGTATTAATAAAACAACTTATGTAAGGATTAGGGGGTGATTTATTTGCCAAATAAAAGCAGTTGTAATTTACTAAAATGATTTATTCGTCTTCTTCATTTATAGTAATAAACAATTTCGTTATATATAATTAGTTACGTTTGGTTTTCAAATATGTGCATGCATGTAAATATATAACTGTATTAATACTGACTTGCAGTGACATAGTGATTCTTATGAATTTTTTCCACATAAAAAAAGCGTATGTTAGTATTTAATTCTATATTTCTTGATTTTTTTAAAACATGTGATTAGGCTGTTTATAGTGTTATATTTTAAAAAATCTTCTTACAAATATTTTTAAAAATTATAAATTATTTTACATGATCATTTGTAGCTTTTTCTTAAAACGAGTTAAATCAAAATTAGAAAAATCAAATAGGATATTATTGAATAATAAAGAGAAAATATTATTGAATAATAATTGGTCCGATTATTTTAAAAGAGTAAAACCTACTAGATAATTAAAATTGTTGTTATGATAAATGCAAGAACAGAAAGAATAAGTGTCAAACTGGTTGATAACTATAATGGATAAAGACTATAACAAAACTTTTTAAAAAATTACCATGGTTAATCACTATCAAAGGATGGCTTTATGCATTGAAAGCATTGATTATAATTACTAATATAATTAATGTTCAAAGCATATTTTGTCAGAACAATTTATTTTTATAAAGTATATTCTCATTATGTTGGGCCATTAAATTATCTTGCTTTCCCCAAAGATGGGTTCTTGACCATTGCATCATCGAATCTTAGAAATTCGATATAACTATTAATTATCAATGTATCAATAAAATAAAATCGGAAAAAAATTTGGAATTTAGCTAAATACATTTTATATAACTGGACATCTGGCAAGAGAGTGGACGGACAAGACCGGACTAAAAGTTCAAAGGGGCGGAAGTAGGATCTCTTAATATTGTATAAAAGGCTGAGATGACACAGTTGTGCATCAGTTGAGTTTATCACTCCAAAATGAATACATTTGTAAGTGAACCATCTTTCGATATAATTTACAAAATGAATGAAGAAAAATCGATAAGATAGTTGTAATTTAATAAATGAAATTTTAAACAAAAGTTTTGTATTGTTGAACGTTTTATTTTTTATATTAATCCATTATTTTACAAGAGAGACGGGAAATTTTGAAAGAAAACCGCTAACACCTAGGAAATAAAGCATTTTTACGATAATGTCTCATTAATAAAAACTGTTTCAGACTATTTGCCTTGTCTTCGGACTGGCCGTTGGAGTGTTGGGAGGTGATATCAAAAAGCACGAGAAGCGAGGCGTCTACGGCGAAGGACTTTATGGTGGAAGTTTAGGAGGATTCGGCTCAGGATTGTATGGATCTAGTGTGGGCACTGGTGTTTCCTACGGTTCAGGCTTCGGCTACGGATCTGGTCTCGGAGTCGCTTCTGGAGTCGGTTCTGTAGTTGGCGTTGGAGCTGGAACCGGACTCGGTTACGGAGTCGGTTCTGGAGTCGGTCTTGGATCTGGTGTCGGACTCGGATATGGAGTCGGATCTGGAGTTGGTCTTGGATCCGGAGTTGGTCTCGGATATGGAGTTGGTTCAGGTGTCGGACTCGGATATGGAGTCGGTTCTGGGGTCGGTTATGGATCCGGACTCGGATATGGAGTTGGTTCAGGAGTTGGTCTTGCGTCCGGAGTTGCACTCGGATCTGGAGTCGGTCTCGCCTCTGGAGTTGTCGGAGGAAACCAACTCGTTTCAAGACACGTCACTGTCACTCACCGTGTTGCTGTTCCAGTACCTCAGCCTGTACCAGTCCCTGTTGAAAGGACAGTCCCTGTACCAGTACCGCATCCCGTCAGTGTTCCAGTCGACAGGCCCTACCCGGTACAAGTGCCACAACCCGTCCCAGTTCCCGTAGAGAGGCCTTACCCTGTCCCAGTTGAACGCCGTGTCCCTGTACCTGTTCACCACACTGTAAATGTACCTGTACCACACCCAGTCGCTGTTCCTGTACCAAGGCCAGTTGCTGTTCCTGTTGTTAGGAACGTACCAGTTCCGGTTCCCCATCCAGTAGCTGTCCCACAACCCGTACCCGTCCACGTCTCTGTTCCAGTCCCAACTGGAGTCGTTGCTGCTGCCCCAGCAGTTGGTGTCTCTACTGCACTTGGTTTCGGTTCTGGCTTCTCTGGACTCGGATACGCTTCTGGAGTTTCTGGACTCGGATACGCTTCTGGAGTTTCTGGACTCGGATATGGTTCTGGCCTTACTGGAGTTTCTGGACTCGGATTCGCTTCTGGCGCTACTGGAGTTTCAGGTTTGAGTTACGGTTCTGGGGTTTCTGGACTCGGATTCGGTTCTGGAGTTTCTGGACTTGGATACGCTCCTGGACATGGATATGGATCTGGCTTTTCATCTGGCCTTGGTCTTGGCTCGGCTGTAGCAGTTGGTGGACACCACAAAGTATGGTAATTAAACTTCGGAAAACAATCAGTCTCCATTACGTTCATGTTATCATTTTCTCATTGTAAATAACACATTTTTTATACTCCTAAAAATTATTTTTGTAAAGTAATGTTATTATTTTTGTTATTCGTTCCATTATTGGACATATATTGTAATATCGATCATTATATCATCTTATAATACTCAAGTTCCATAAACTTGAGTTTATTTTTTATATTTTTTTATTAATGAAAAGTATACGTCGGAACTGTGCGGAACGGGATGGTGTTTTTATTTGTCATTTGTTCTTAAAATTTTTATAATTGGTGTTCATTCTTTCCGCTGTTCCTCTTTAGAAAGAATTCATATGTTGTATTCTATTATGGCTGTTCAATAATATGAACCGCAATGTTTCTTAAAACGAGTTTATAGTTCTAGTCTTAAATTTTTATATTTGAATAATGAAGGTCTGTTGTAAAATTGTAATAAACTGTTTAATGTTTATTCATACCTACATAATAAACTGTTCAATATGTTTGTAAATCCCACAAATTATTTTTATTAAAATGTTGTCCTTGAAAGTACATCCCTTTTTTTAAATAATCCTTTTATTTTATATTTCGACGTAACGAATTAACGTACGAATTTTTATTGGTTCCTAATACTGGCATTATTTTTATCCGGTGAAGAGAGCATTTCGATGTGCTAGTTTGTGAAGTAGTGTATACTGTATACTCGTCTAATGTTGTTTGTTTTTGCTATTTGACTCCGAAAATAGCTTTGCTTTCTATCTGGCTTGTAAGTTTGCAAACAAAAAGCTCAATATAAATTACATAATAAATGATTGTTTGAAATTATAAATTTTGGAAAATTATAAGAAAGAAATTATACAATACATAATATGTAGCATTTTACAGATTTACCTCTTCTATATCCATGGTGTCCCTTTTAAATGGCACGGCTGAATTTCTCTTGAAAGTCTAGTTTCAAATGTTTACCACTTTTTTTAGAAAAATTATACACTGTGCCTCAGGCCCTGTTCAACTTCAACACACATTATGAGAGCAAATCTTACTTCCTGGAAGTAAATAAATTTTACCTTTTCGTTACACTCAGTATTCCATTCAAAATGAACCGAAGAGTATAGAGAGTTGATATATGTGAGTATGTTTATTGCCAGTGGTATTGCGCGTCGTGCAGTCGAGTTGTACTCCAGCAAATTTTCTGATCGCCCCAGAATAAACTACAAAATTCTCAACACGATATGCAAGAATGGCACAATTACACAGAAAACAAACACTTTGAGCCCTGAAGATGATCTCAATGAAGATCGAAACGTTGTCACGGTAAAGAAAATGTTTTTCTGTAACCTACGTCACACAGACCGCATCTCACGATTTCTGAATAATCTTCGACTAACGGTCACTAATCACCACACAAAATACAAAATGTTTATTCGTATTGCTCGCAATATGAGAAGATACGGATCAGTTGCAGTTCCATCACCATGAAACCGGCACCGTTCAGGGAGCGTGAAGAAAACCTTGTCCATACATCCTGTGCACTGATGAAACCAAGTTCACCTCCAGTGACATACTACTCTTGTCATCGTCAGTTGGTTCACAGTATCAATGTTTGGTGTGGACTTCTCGGAAATGCATTAATTGGTCCTTATTCCTACGAAAATAATTTAAATGGTGCTCAGATCCTCAATTTTTTGAGACAGGTATTATGTGCTATGCAACAAAGTCAAAGAATGATTTTCCAGCTTGATGGATGCCCCTCTAACAATTTTTTGCGTTGAGACATTATTTGGATCGTCACTTCCGGGATAGATGGATAGGACCTCATGGTCCGATGTATTGGACTCCTCGGTCACCCTACTTAACTCCACTTGACTATTTTCTGTGGGGCCATTTCAAAGATAGTGTTTTCGCCAATCATAACCCAGCAACCTCAGTTGAAGAACTGCGGCAAAGGTAAGAAAATGCTTATCAATCCATCTCCTCTGACTCTTTCACTCTGATCGCCAATGAAGAGTGTGTAAGAAGATCAAATCTTTGCATCTTTACGCAAGGCAGGCAGTTCGAAAATGAAATATGATTAACATAGCAAACCAAATGACTGATGATTTTGTCAAACTTTTTTCTCTAACTTTGTCTTTTTTTGACCAATTTAAAATCAGAGTGCACCATTGTTTTCAGCGTAAAACGCCTTTAGAATAAAGTGTCAGGATGTTTAGGGTCGTATTTAAAATTTTGAAGTTGTACTGGGCCTGAGTTGCCCTGCGTAATTGTTCTTCAAAAAAAGTAAAATTTTGAAACTAGATTAAAAAATATTAAACTCGTATTTTATTTATAGGATTTAGGACATTGTATAGTATGCCCATACCAAACCTATCACAAATAATGGCGATGCTATCTTTAGTTTCAAAGCATTATGGAATCAGAAAGTATTGGGTCTATTCCGCTTAAGTGAACCTCATATCATCCTTAATCCACATTGATAATTGAGTAGTAGACCTACACATAATTAGACAAATAAAATCAAACTTCATTTTATCAAAAATATGTTTATTAATCAGATCAATATCTTTTTTTTATACACAATGGAATTCTGCGTTTTCTTCTTTTCGTTAATAAATTCCTGATAAATTCATTTGCCAAAGCCTTGAGTATGTTTGTCTTTATTTCTGTACAACCTTCCATTCTAACACAAATTTTTATGTATAACATACTTTGCCAACCTTTTTTGAGATAAAGTCCACCGGTTACATAATATTGCGTTAAGTTGACAAGCGTTATGTAGATTTTTCAAAAAAACAGAAGAAATTACATGCAAGCATACTGGTGTACTGACAGTACCGAACAGGAGATGAAACACGCTCTTGAAAAAAGAAAGTACAGGGTGTTAAATGTCTACACACTGCATTCCATATAGTATTAAATAAAATTAAATATTTTCAGTAAAAACTTTATTAAAATTACATAACAGAAAAAAAACAGTGTCTTACAAAGTCAATTAGTCATCTGTAACCGACTGAAAAACAACTGTTTAGACAGAGAGTTAACAAATTTTTAACAATATAAAAATGAATTATTTACAATGAGAAAGTGAGAAATGAACGCGAAGATGTTGATGAATGAACGATGCTGCGATTTGCGATTACCAAACTTTGTGGTGTCCTCCAACTACTACGCCTGAGCCAAGACCAGATGAGAATCCAGAGCCGTATCCAAGTCCAGAGAATCCCGAACCGTATCCGTGCCCAGAGAATCCAGAACCGTATCCGTGTCCAGAGAATCCAGAACCGTAACCAAGTCCGGAGAATCCAGAACCGTATCCATGTCCAGAACCGTATCCTAATCCAGAACCGTATCCATGTCCAGAACCGTATCCGAATCCTGAACCGTATCCGAGGCTAGAAACTCCAGACGTATATCCGAGTCCAGAGAAGCCAGAACCGAAACCAAGTCCCGAGGAGACACCAACTACTGGGGCAGCAGCAACTACTCCAGTGTGGACCGGAACAGAGACGTGGACGGGTACAGGTTGATGGACGGTAACTGGGTGAGGAACTGGAACTGGAACGGTTTTCACGACGGGAACGGCGACAGGCTTTGGAACGGGAACTGCGACCGGGTGAGGTACAGGAACTTTGACTGTGTGGTGAACAGGTACAGGGACACGACGTTCAACTGGTACTGGGTAAGGCCTGTCGACTGGAACTGGGACTGGTCGTGGCACGTGTACAGGGTAGGGCCTGTCGACTGGAACCCTGACAGGATGGGGTACTGGTACAGGTACTGTCCTTTCGACTGGAACTGGCACAGGCTGTGGTACTGGGACAGCAACACGGTGCGTGACTGTGACGTGCCTTGACACAACTTGGCTTCCTCCGACAACTCCTGTGGCCGGACCGACTCCAGAACCAACTCCATATCCGAGTCCTACTCCTGATCCCAGACCGACACCGTATCCAAGTCCGGATCCAAGACCGACTCCAGAACCGACACCGTATCCAAGTCCGGATCCAAGACCGACTCCAGAACCGACTCCGTATCCCAATCCGAGTCCTGATCCATAGCCGAAGCCGGAACCGTATGAAACTCCATGGCCAAAACCAGATCCGTACAGGCCTGACCCGAGTCCTCCCAAAGATGAGCCGTAACCTCCTAGACTTCCTCCGTAAAGTCCTTCGCCAAAAACTCCTCTTTTCTCCTGTTTCTTATCCTGCCCACCGAGCACACCGATGGCCAACCCAAGTAGGAGGAAAATTGTCTAAAAAGTTTGAAAGTTAATTTTATAATTTCTTGTTATGTCAGAATAGTAAGATTTACAATTTATTTGGTATTTAATTTTTAAAACATACTACTACTACCATACATGCTATCCATGACATAATAATTGTAATCAATGCACATGTAAATTAAATCTAGATATTTATGAAATGTCTAATTTCAACAATTGTCACACCAAATAATCTTATAGAAATGATTTGATGTGTGGTGGTATTGGCAATAGTTTGTCTTAAATAATTCTGATTTGGCGATTGATAATTTAATTTAACCAACAATTAAAATCATGAAATAAGATTCACTGTTTGGAAAAAATAGTTCTAATCACAGAAGTGAGGCTTCTATGAGTAGAAATATGTTTACTAAAAAGTGAACTTTATTTGATGATTTTATTTTTTAAATTCAATTATCAATCGCCAAGTCAGAATCATTTAGGACAAAGTACTCCTCAAACCGCCGGTTAACACTTGGTATCCAAAAATGTTCACTCACAGTGGTATTCATTTTGAAGACTCAAACACAACTGATGCTAGTTCTTGTTGAAGCCCCCTTTTATACAAAGCGATCCTCATTCCAATCGCTTTGAACTTTTAATCCAGTCTCGACCATCTCGAGCTCCTTGGAGCTGGTCAGTTATGTAAAAACCTTGTAAAAAACTGTATCTGCCGTGGGCGACGAGAATATTACGGTTTAACGCCCCGTCGTAAATACAACCAAAATCTGTTATATCGATAGATGCAATTTTTAGTTAAATAAATTGCATTTTTCAAGGTTATTACAAACAGGAATTTTAAACAGTTATATTTTGTAATGGGAATATTTCATATGTGTATAATATTTAAATAATTAAATAAATAAAATATTTCTTCTCATAATGTTTGTAGAGAAGGGTTGTTTTGAGGTGTCCCACCTTAACAAAAGGATGAAATTCGTTGGCTTTATATATAGAGCGTGTATGAGTGAGAATTGTGTTTGAGCACATCAGGGATTATCTTGATCCTCTGTTCCGATTTTTGGAGAAAACTGTGTGATTTTATTATATGTAGTACTGACAGTACAGGGTAACTAGCGTGTGTTGAGAGTAAATGTATTTATTGGCGTGATAGTGAACGTAAGAGGATTGACGGTGGAATATTAAGTACCTCATCGATCCTCAATTAGGTTAGTTATGTAATAGGTTTAATAGGTTTAAAGAATGTTGGAGGAATATCTACTACTCTACCACCCTAATTGAGTGAATGATATGCAAGGAAAAAAAGTATTTAAGAATGAATGAAATTGTGAATTGGTAGGAACAGCATGCGTTGGGTGCTGAATTTACCTAGCTGTTGACAGAATTCAGAGCCCAACTCAGAGGGCGGACAGAAAAATCAGTGGTCTCACCTCGAACAAAATTACAAAAGGCTGGAATTGCCTATGGCTGCGAGAAAATTAAAAGCTCAACTTTTACTTATAGACCCAAAAAGCTGCTGGGTTTTGCTAAAACTTCCATTGAATAATAAGAAATAATTACAACAATTAAAACCTTGGCTAAAATCAATGGATATTAAGAAATATTTGTCGATAGGTTGCTAGTAAAAACTATACAAAAATTAACTTTAATAGAAGCAACAATCGGACGCAGCAACCCCACCAAAAATGAATCATTAGGTTTTCGTTCCTTACCATACATTGGGGAACTATCAGAAAAAGTAAAAAATTCTTAAACATGGTTTTAGAGTAGCTTTTATAGGTGCTTGTTCACTTAGAATCATCCTGTCAAAACCTAATGACAAGGTTGACACCTTGTCAATAAGCAGCTACAAACTTAATTGTAATGATTGCGATATTAAAATATAGGACAAAGCAATAGAGAAATTAAAACGAGAGTTAAATAACACTTGCAAAATCTAATTTTTTGAATTTAAGGATCATCTAAATGAAACAAAACACAAGTTAAATTTAAACTTAAATACAACAGTATTCCAGATGCAGCAAATATATGCAAGACAGAATTGCCCGCCATAACGTACGCGAGTCAGAAAAATTGAACGGAAAAAAATGTGTGATATGCACCGATTCATTTAGCGCGCGATCTCTGCATTAAAAAATAAATTCTCCACGGACTTGCTCATAACAAACAATCTATAGGGGGCGTCGGTGGCCGGAACGGTTTAGGGTAGAGGTTGATACAACCTCTGCTGTTGCGAACCCTCGTAAAAAAATTAATTTAAAAAAATAAAAAATCGATGAAAAGGTAGACGGACTGGATCAAATCTGCAAAGTCATATTTATTTGTACACATGTTGGCAACCTGGGAAACGAAAATGCAGACAAGGCGGCAAAAAGAGCTTCGGCGATTCCGCATCACCCAGAGACACCAATCAGTCCAGCAGACGTTAAGAAAATATGACTTATCAATGATGGCAAAGCGGCCGGACTGAATTGACTGAAAAATCAAAAAATAAAAAAGTTCACTCAAGCCGCGGCCTGTGGAGAAAATGAAAAAAAAGAATTATCTTAACAAGGCTTTGGATAGGTCATATTCGTTTCACACATAGGCATCTTTTGGTGGACGACCGGGGACAACAGTGCTTCCAGTGTAATGAGCCGGTACCTACTAGTGGGCTGTGGTGCTTTGCAAATCCATAGAGAACGGTGTGGCCTACCCTCAGATGAAAAAATGTCTTAATGCATAGCAGTGATTTTACTGAAAAGTTGTTTGACTATCTCAGAGTGGAAAGTATATATAATCTAATTTAATTTGCTTCTTCACATGTTTCATGTCGTATAGTTGCGGTATGTATTTATTAGCGAGAACGTCGGTTGAATGAGTGTGAATGGAAACTCGACGAAGTATACCGCGACGGCCTGTTACTTAGTTTGTAGTTGTTGATATGCATGAATAAGGAGTGGCCATTGGCAGAATATCGAGTACACCGATGAGCCTCTATAAGTTTTTAGTAGTAGATAGTTTAGCATGTATGTATGTATTAGTGTGGAAGAATGATGAATAACTGTGTTTGGATGGATGGGTGTGTATGATGTTTATAGGCTATAGATTTGACAATGATGATGGGCTACCATCGGAATATAGGTACATGATGGCCCCGATAGTATGCTTGTTTTGGTATGAATGATCCATTGATGGGATAACATGTGAAGGGTGCAAGGGAAGTGTCCCACGCAACGAATATGCACAAGAGCAAAAAAAAAAAACTTAATGAGAGCCGACTATGACCTTGCTGTTTGTCTGTTTAAAAAAAAGTGTTACACAGTTTCAACAAAGAGAAGGAAATAGATGATTTTGAGAAATGGACTGCTTTAAAAATGGCACGACATACCAAAACATAGGGGTAGCATGGTCGAGTGAATTTTTTACCCGCCTTCAAGAAAATCTAGATATAAAGAATAAAACCTTTTAAACTTTCAAGCCAGAATATCCAAAGTTATGCAAGCCCGCCGTACTTCAAAGCTGTGCGTTCCCCTACCGTGGAAATCAGGCTTTCATAGCAATAAGCAGTGTTACTTTTTTCAACAAAATTTTTGTACAAATACAAACATTATTTTATAGTTATGAATAATTGTCAAATCAGTAGCTTCAAAATTTTGAAATTCGATGGTTTTCTAGTTTTAACAAAGAAATTCCTCGAGTCATCTACAAAAAGAGAAAACCACTTTTTTTAAGCATCGATCAAAACCGCGCATTTAGTGAAACGAATCAGCTCTTTTTCATAGCTCACCGCTCCTGTTCACCAAATTTATCTTACCAATAATTCGTAAACTTTGGCGGGTTTTTCTATTTTCGATGTGCTAGCCCCAAGGCCTGTTAATATCTGAATGACAAGGCTGTTATATGAAAGCAATGACGAACTGCTCGACCTTTTTACTATTATTGCCAATGATAAATTTCAATAAAAAAGAACGAAGAAGGTTGACCAGTTCGTCGTTTCATAACAATTAACAACCCAGTAATTTTATTACCTTTTGAATGACAGAAAAAAAATCAAAATTATAAAAAACTTAAAGTGCATATACGTAATGGAAATAAATATTTATATTAAACATTAAATTTTAAAAACAATTAATAAAAAATTTCTTAACTCTCAGAGCTCACCCGTATACATTGTGATTTTTGGTAACTGGTTATAACCTGTAAATAAATAAATAGCTAGCGGAACCCCATCAATATTTACTGGTCACTTTCATTGTGAAGACCCTACATAATTTTCTATCAGTATCATCTACGGAAAATAATAAGCCTATTGTGCATAGGTATTCTTAGAAACTGTGGCTTCTTTTTCTTATTTTATCAAAAATGGACAAAAAGCCTTGTTAAAAATCATATTTTTGTCATTCTTCGGCGAACAATGAATTTAATTAGTGCTGCAATGCGTGATTATTTTTACTAATTATAAAGTCAAAATATACTAAAGGTGTCTTTCGGGAATGGCTATGATGACTTTCACCTCCAGCAGTGACACTATTGTGAAGTTACGTATATAATTCTGATTATTCAATTAGAGTTCTTCTACATTAGAGCCAAGCTCTCTTAGTTTGTGGGTAATGACGTCCAAATTACTCAGTGTCCACCTAGTAATAGACAAAAACTGACGATGAAAGTGGTGACGAAGAAGAGGTTAATTTTCACTACCTTCCAGGTTCTTGCATTTATGAGGATTGTTTAACTAAATATCATTGGCGGAGCTAACAGGCACAGAAAGGAAAAAAGACAGAAGGAAGAAAATAGTGATAGGTTATTTATTTTCTGCCTGCCGAAATGATTGGCTTTTGTAAAGGCACCGTATAAATTGTTTTCATGAGTATCGTAAAAATATATATTTGTTTCAATTAATTAATCTTCATGTAGGATATTGGTTGAAATGAAAAGTTAGTGTCACGAGCGGGATTCGAACCCACGGCCTTCGGCTTGATACGCCGCTGCTCTAACCACTTGAGCTATCGTCACTTCGATCCATCTGGACATGAACTCCCCGTCTCAATCTACATTTCGAATTTTCCCTCCTTTTTGCCATTTGTCAAATGTCGTGTAATCAGGATTTGATTCTCGGTGACAAATGAAATGGCCATGGAGAGCTCGTGAAACTAACTTTTTAACCAATACCTAACATAAAGATTAATTAATTGAAAGAAATTATTTCGTCAATTGGACCACGAAATATAATGGATATATATTAGTGTTTAATCTCATACACCTTTTTTGACAATATCGAATAAATTTTGTATAAATTGGCAGAATATATCTTATATATATTGTAGCAGAATGTATCTTTATTAATTCTTGTTCCCGTTATCGAAATACTATTAGACAAACCGCAATAGCTGTTTTCCAAAGGTACCTTTGAGTGCCTCTCTATTTTCCTTAAAAAAAATTCTCTTTTGCTAGAAACTAGCACCCTAAAATCCATTTGTAAAGTAAATTAACAAAGTTGGCGGATTTAGCATTTATCACCCAGCCTCTCTCCACTTGATTAATATTATAATGTAGCTTATTAACATAGCTAATGAGTAATATTCTTCTAAAAAACTGTATTTTTTATGTAATATATCAGAATATTCTATTCTGG